AACAATCTGTGAGTGGAAGAGATTGACCTGGAAATTGTCGGCGAGCTGAGAAGCCGGTGGTGGCACAACACAAACGTTTTTTTGTCTTTTTGTCTTCATTATGTTTAGGTTATTCTATTATTTACTTTTTAAAAAAATATAAAAGGTCCATTAGCCCAACTAAGCAAAATTTAATATTAAAAAGTCCATTGGCTAATTAAAAAACAAAACACAAGAGACACATGTGTTCATTGTTTCCAACGATTTTATTTTAGACAAAGGAAATCAAAATCTATTAAATAGAAGAGCATAAGAACAAAATGTTTAAACAAATTAATACCAAATCTTTAACAAGGATAAATTTGGAATTAAAAAAATCTTGACATTAAAAGTGAGTTATGTAAGAAATAAAAAATGAAGTGGGTTATCATAGCTATTTTTTGAAAAGGGTAGGTTATTGTAGGTAATTTTCCTAAATATAAAGTGCAAAATATGAGATATTAGAGGTTCTTGTTTGACATGTTTTCAAAATAAGAAGAAAATATAACCACCGTCCATAGAATTCTCACATTTTATTTTTAATATTGATTTTTCTAATAAAGTTTATTTGTTTAAGAACAACATTTAGCAAAAAACCAACGGGCCAAAATATAATAATTTAAATAATAGGCCTATAAAATATATACTCAAATCTATAAATACACATATTATATATATATATATATATATATTATATAATGATTTATAGTTATACATATATATAAATATACGAAGCGAACCGGATATTCGGCACTAAGAAAATCATTATTTGTTATTTGCTTCGGTTTTTACGAATAATATATTTTAATATTTGCTTCGGTTCAATATCTTATTGATATTTGAAATTTTCGAATCGAATCGAAGCGAATCTAACGAATATTTTTCCCAGGGCCTGGTATGAATTCATTTTACTTTTATCGAAGTAGTAGTATTTCGTGATAGAGATACTCTGCAGAATTTATTTGCAATAGACTGACTTAAAATGATGACAAAAAAAAAAAAAAAAAAATGAGACTGACTTAAAGATGTCCACACAAAAAGAAGAAAAGTCTCCTAAGAAAAGTCCCATATTAAAGATAAAAATTAGTTTAGTTTATAATAAGGACTACTAGGGAGTGTCGTTTTTGTTAAAAGTCTTCTCAATTTGTTTGTTCCGGGAAGAAGTCTTCTCACTTCGTTCCGTCGTTCGCAGTTTCCACAATTTAACAATAGCCAATGGATTATGATGAGGTTGGCACTTTCACTGTCATTGCGAATTGCTTGGAATTTTCAACCGCTGCAGTTGTCCCTCTTTATATTTTAGATCCCCTCTCTCTCTCTCTCTCTCTCTCTCTCTCTCTCTCTCTCTTTCTCTCTTGAGCTCGTCAGAATGGCCGTCACCGATTTTTTCGTGGGTGAAATAGCGACGGAGCTCCTAAAGCAGCTGTTTATGTTATCTGCCAAGGCATGCCGTTACAAAGGCACCGCCGACAAGCTCATAAGCATGATCAAGGATATTCAACCGACGATCAAGGAGATCCAGTTCGGCGGCGTGGAGCTGCCTGCTCATCGCCAGGCTCAAATCCGTATGCTCTCTGAAACCCTAGAGAAGGGCAAGAAACTCACGGATAACTGCATAAACTGCCGCCGCTGGAACATTGGTCGACAGATATACCTTGTTAAGAAAATGGAGAAGCTCGAGAAGACGATCGATGCTTTCTATAGGGGTCCCATTTTGACTAACATTCTCGCCGATATTCATCTTCTCCGGGCCACTTCCGATGTGCGTTTGGATCGTGTTGACAGGAGTCTCGAGAGGGTGATTGAGCAAGTGGGTTCCATGAAAATTGGGGGCGGAGGGTTGATTAGAGAGGCGATGAAGAGAGCCGAGGCTATGGAGATTGAGACCAACGACGATTTGGAGAAATTTGGGGTTGGCTTGGAATTGGGAAAGATCAAGGTCAAGAGGATGATCTTCCAAGCTCAAGGAGGGGTTTTTGGCATCAGCGGGATGGGCGGTGTTGGTAAAACCACTCTTGCCAGAGAGCTTGAAAGGGACAATGAAGTCCGATGTAAGTCTCCTTTCTTTCTCCTCACTCTCCTTAGTGACTCGACACTCTAATAGATTAATTATGTTTTGATGATCCAGCTGACTAGTTTGTTTAGAGAAATTCTGACTTTTTTTTGAAGAGTCCGAAGACTGTCTCTTTCTCCTGTTTTGTGTTTTGTGAATTGTGAATTGTGAGATGGTCAATTTACACTGCTTTTTCTTCAGGTCACTTCGAGAACCGGATCTTGTTTCTGACTGTTTCACAATCTCCGCTTCTTGATGAGCTGAGGGCACATATATGGGGTTTTTTATCTGGTTGTGAAGATGTAAATCCTGTTCCAGACTGCAATATCCTATTTGAGGGCGCTCGGAAGCTCGTGATTCTTGATGATGTTTGGACCACACAAGCTCTGGACCGCCTTACGTCCTTTAAGATTCCTGGTTGCACAACTCTTGTGGTCTCACGATCCAAACTCACTGAGCCTAAATCCACTTATGATGTCGAAGTACTAAGTGAAGATGAAGCAATCTCTCTCTTCTGTCTCTGTGCATTCGGTCACAAATCTGTCCCTTCTGGTTTCTGCAGCAATCTGGTTAAGCAGGTAATTTAGTGCTTTCTTCTCCAACTGATACACAGCCTAGTATATCACTTGCTTTTCCATTCTCAAATTTGTCCATCTGATGCAGGTTGCTAATGAGTGTAAGGGTTTACCTTTGGCTCTCAAAGTTACAGGCGCTTCATTAAATGGCAAACCCGAAAAATATTGGCAGGGCGTATTGCAGAGGTTATCAAGAGGTGAACCTGCTGATGAAAGTCACGAGAGTAGATTGCTTAATCAAATGGAAGCTAGTCTGGAAAATCTCGACCAAACAACCAAAGAGTGTTTCTTGGATCTTGGCGCATTCCCTGAAGACAGGAAGATTCCTCTTGATGTTCTCATCAACATGTGGATTGAGATACATGATATAGAGGAAGGGAATGCTTTTGCCATTCTTGTTGATTTGTCACACAAGAATCTCCTTACTCTTGGGAAGGATCCACGGTGAGGGATTACAAAACTTGTAGTTTACAGTTTTTATAAGGTTTAAAAGTCTTATGAAATTATAACTGTACATTAATTTGCAGGCTTGGCTCTTTGTACGCAAGCCACTATGATATATTTGTGACACAGCATGATGTTCTGCGAGATCTAGCACTTCATCTTAGCAACATAGGGAAAGTAAACAGAAGAAAGCGGTTGCTGATGCCAAAAAGAGAGTTAGAGCTCCCAAGAGAATGGGAAAGGAACAGTGATGAGGAATACAAAGCCCAGATTGTCTCTATCAATACTGGCAAGAGTTTTACACTGCAATCTTTATATTGTTTGGTTTTCTCATGAGCTAATCACCAGGATCGTAATGTTGGTTTGAATTTTATTTTGTGTATTTGCAGGGGAAATGAATGAAATGCAATGGTTTGACATGGAGTTTCCCAAGGCAGAGATTCTAATACTGAATTTCTCTTCAGACAAATATATTCTTCCGCCTTTTATTGCAAAGATGAGCCGGCTTAGGGTCCTAGTGATTATCAACAACGGCATGTCCCCTACAGCTCTCCACGACTTTTCAATATTTGCCAATTTGTCGAAATTAAGGAGTCTCTGGCTCGAGAGGGTTCATGTCCCTGAACTCTCCAATGCAACCATTCCCTTAAAATATCTCCACAAGATGTCTCTGATTCTGTGCAAGATCAATAACAGTTTTGATCAAACCGGAGTTGATGTCTCCAATATTTTCCCAAACATGGGTGATCTAACGATCGATCACTGTGATGATCTCGTGGCACTACCTTCAAGCATCTGTGGACTGGCCTCTCTTAATTCCTTGAGCATAACGAATTGCCCACGCCTCAGTGAATTGCCCAAAAACCTCAGTAAGCTACAAGATCTTGAACTTCTAAGGCTATATGCTTGCCCCGAGTTAAAGGCATTGCCTGGAGAAATCTGTGAGCTGACCGGGCTTAAGTACCTCGACATCTCACAATGTGTCAGCCTGAGTTGTCTTCCAGAGGAGATAGGAAAGTTAACGAAGCTTGAGAAGATCGACATGAGAGAATGTTGTTTCTCCGGTAGACCAAGGTCTGCTGTTTCATTGAAGTCTCTACGCCATGTAATATGCGATACAGACGTTGCATTTATGTGGGACGAAGTTAAGAAGGCCGTTCCAGGGTTGAAGATCGAAGCTGCTGAGAAATGTTTCAGTCTAGATTGGCTCGATGAGTAGTAAATGAATCGTAAACCCTCTTGTATAAATTGTAAACTCAGAGTCGGTAAACCCGATTGTATAAAGTGTAAACTCATTGTCAGAGTCAATATAGTTAAACAAATTGTACATAACAATAAACCAGAGAACTTGTTACTTGCCCCCACAATGTAAATAATTCCTAAATTCAATTGTGTCATCGTGTCTCTAACTCAATTTAGAAAAAAAAAAAAAAATTGGATTTTTCCTTTACACAGTAGGACACTGATGATCTTGTAGTCTGTACTCTGTAGGATGACTAGATTCCCAACTGGCAGCTTCTAGGGATGACAATTGCAAAGCCAGATGGGCCAGTATTGGGCTTCAGAATCTAGTCGGAATAAATTAGTGATTTAAGAACACCATCAGTATTACATAACAAAGAATTTTAATATAAACCAAAATTGAAATTGTTCTCTTCACTTAAAAAAATCCTTAAAAAAATTTGGGTGAAGTCCAGTTTCATCCCAACAAGGAAATCTCGGTGGGAAGAGAGAGAGGAGGAAGAAGATGGAAGGGAAGTGCTTGGATTGCATGCAATGGGAAGAAGAACTCTACTGGACTCATTTCCAAACCCTCCATTTCACTCAGCTCCTCCTTCCTGGTTTCCACAATCGTCACGTATGTTTCTATCACTTTCTCTATCCTCCTTCTTCATGCATCTCTTCAGCTATTCGGGTTCTTCCTTCGATTGTTTGGTGTATTCAATTTCTTTTGTTCTCTGTTTGGGTTTAATTTGGGTATTTTTACACTCATATGTAGTATGTATTAAGGGTTTAAGCAATTTTTGTCCTTTTCTCCCTGAGACGATGGCAAGAATATATGAGGGCTTTGTCTATTTAAATCCATAGATTGCTCTTTTTTAACACAAGGAGGAACTACCGATTTCGTTCAATCTCTTTTTGCAACTAATTGCAGGTCATACCTCAAAAGTTTTCGATGCATTGCAAAGGAAGGCTACCTCATATTGTGACTCTCAAAAGTCCAAGTGGCGCTATATACAATGTGAGAGTTGAGCAAGATGATGAAAAGACACTGTCTTTTCGTTGTGGGTGGGACCGTGGGACATGTTTGTGAAAGATCATTCGCTAAAGGAGAATGATCTGTTGGTCTTCAAGTTCCATGGACTGTCTGAGTTTGAAGTATTGATTTTCGATGGACAGACCTTGTGTGAGAAACCCACTTCTTATTTCGTCAGGAAATGTGGACATGCAGACAAGACCAAATGTACTGATTTTACTGCAACCTCTTCGAGGTCACCTGAGATACTCTTTAACCCTGTTGATGTTGAAGCTACACCAAACCAGCAACGTCTTATATCTCCAGTTGATAACGAGCTCGACGACCTCATTGACATTGATGTTGATATTGAAACAATGCTAACCCCTCATCTTGTAGTATCTCAGACCGGTTGTGAGCAACTAGAACATTTTAACTCTGACATTGATACAGCATATGCCCAGATTCCTGTTATATCTCCAGCTAGTACAGGACGAGTCAGTGAAGAGAAGTATCCCCTTAGCGGTTTAAAGAAGATGCAAGGAGAAATAAATAATGATAGTCTCGATCATAAAGCTGGTATGAAAATCTTCTTACTTATTGATTACACATTGCACCAGTTTCTTGGTATTCATCTAAATCCTTGTCCCTAGTCTCAATTTTGCATGCAACTGTTTGGATTAGAGTTACAGGTTTTGAGAATGTTGCTGTCATAACAACATAGGAGTAACTTTGTCCTGAGTCTTGGATATTCTATGATTCTGGAGATTAGATGTGGAGATTAAAAATTCTCTCAATTGGTAGAAACAGTTTCTTGTTCTCGAACTTTACTAACTTCATACTAGCTATAGCCTTAGATCATTTGCCTTTTAAGTTCATGTGGTGGAACGTGTCTGTATAATTACCAGTTTCTATCTCATTTATTATGCATCTAAAAATACTAATATATATCTTATGACATCGAGATGATTTCAGCTGGTCGCAAAAATAAAACCTTATCTCTGGCTCAGAGGGTCATTACGCCGGATGGTTTCTTGGTGGTCATGAAGCGCTCTCATGTGTCGAAGTGTTTTCTGGTAAAGACTTTTCATCGATTTGTGTATTTTCTTTCATATCCTTGAAGCTTTGATTATTGGAAGAAAATAAAAGAGTTATGTTTTCTTTTGAAAACAGACAATCCCATACAAATGGTGCAAAAAGAACAATCTTTTGGCACGTCAAGAAGTGGTGATGCAGATAGATCAAATGAAATGGGTCATGAAGTTTAATTTGTTCGGATCTCGTTGTAGTGGTGGGATTTCAACCGGGTGGAAGAAGTTTGTACAAGACAACAACTTGTGCGAGAGTGATGTCTGTGTGTTTGAGCCAATGAAATCTGAAAAGCAACCGCTTCATCTCTATGTCTATATCTTCCGTGTTGCAGAAGCGGAAAGTACCAACAAAGGTTGACTCGATCTACAACATAAGCGAATAAAAATAAGCAAGGCAACAATGTTTTGTTTAACCGGTAGTGTAGATGAAAACTTGTATATAAAGGTTAATGTAAAGAATGTGTATAATGTAATCTACTGAAGCCTCCCTGTGGCTTTTGTTTTGTGTTGCCTTTTTGGGTTGTATTTAAAATGTTGCAGCGCAGCACAAAATTATGTAAAGTAAAGGAAAATTATAAGGGAAGTCTTCTGGTAATGCCTATTTTCTGGTGTTGGGGCTTGCAACATCAATTAAACCAACTCTTTATATATTTTGGTTCAAGTCTTGTTCAGTGCTCATCACATAACTCATAAAGTCATAAGTAACATAACCAATTGGGTTTTGCTTTGATTTGAAAAAATTTGAGATAAGTATGTAACCAGTAATTTAATTTACATTTTGTACAAATATAAGGTATACAAGTATGAAAATGAGATATAATTATTATTATTATTTTTTTTTTTTGAGATATAAAAATCTGATAATCAACTATGCATCTTTTGCTATATTTAGACTAAAAATTCCTGATTTTATTCAACAAATAAAAGATAGTGTACATACATTCACACAAGGGCATTAACGTAAAAGCTAATGATTCACAACGTCTCTCTCCCCAAAATATAGCCGTTACAGACTTTCCGATTATAAAATTAGGGTCAGCAAAAACCCTAAAATCTGCTTAATAAAATCCCAAATCTCGCACCGTCAAAATCATCTAATCCTGCTCTCCTCTCTCACAATCATCAGCGACCAAACTCATACCTCTCTCTCGCTCTTTCTCGCGCTCTGCTCTGATCTATCTGCTCGAATTTACTTACGATTTCGTCTCTGCTTTTGTTTGATTTGCCTTTGTCTGCTCTGATCTTTTAATCCGTTTTTCGTACATCTTCATTGTTATTGTGTTTTGCCGTTTGTTTGGAACTAGTTTGTTGTTTCTTTGTGTGTTTTTTTTATAATGGATGCAGGAATGAACACTTCTTCTCACTTGAAGGCGCAGGCTCGTTGCCCTCTTCAAGAACACTTTCTTCCCAGGAAAAGTTCTAAGGAAAACGTAAGTAGTATGCTTTTTTCTCTATATTCCCCTTCCTGTCGTGAAAATTAGGGCTTAGATTCTTCAGAACCGATGCAATTTATATGATTCCCGTCTGCCATTAAGCATTAGGGTTTCGATTTGGGGGGTTAATTTTTCAGGATTGTTATCGTTTTGTGATTCTTTTCTGCTGAATTAGGGTTTCGATTTGTGAAATTAGTGAATATTGATTGAAATTGTACTGATTTGCTTATGTTATCTTCCACCAGCTGGACAGGTTCATACCCAACAGATCGGCTATGGATTTCGACTATGCTCACTACGCCCTCACCGAAGGGAGAAAAGGTAAGGATCAAGCAGCAACGGTAAGTTCGCCATCCAAAGAGGCCTACAGGAAGCAATTGGCTGAGACCATGAACCTCAATCACACCCGCATCCTCGCCTTCAGAAACAAACCTCAAGCTCCTGTAGATCTGCTTCACACCAGTCACTCTGCCTCTCTTCACCAGCAGCCTAAATCAGTCAAGCCTCGCAGATACATTCCTCAGGTATGTACTATATTTTATTATTGAGTTTGAAAGAAAATGAACCCACATCTGCTTATTGATTTGGATCTGTATTGATATGCTTTTACACTTTATGTTGTGATTATAGTCTTCTGAGAGAACATTGGATGCACCTGACATTGTGGATGATTTCTACCTCAACTTGCTTGACTGGGGAAGTGCCAATGTCTTAGCCATAGCCTTGGACCACACTGTCTACTTGTGGGATGCTTCCACTGGTTCTACATCTGAGCTTGTGACCATTGATGAAGAGAAGGGACCTGTCACAAGTATCAACTGGGCTCCTGATGGTCGTCATGTTGCAATTGGACTCAACAACTCTGAAGTCCAGCTCTGGGATTCTGCTTCCAACCGTCAAGTAATTACTCAAATCTATTTCTCTTCTGATTAGATATAATGCTGTCTTGTTGTCATGTTTTAACCCTTGACCTGCCGTGGTGAACTTTTATGCAGCTGAGAACATTGAATGGTTGCCACCAATCAAGAGTAGGATCATTGGCATGGAACAATCACATCTTAACAACGGGAGGAATGGATGGACAGATTGTCAACAACGATGTACGGATCAGATCACATATTGTGGAAACTTACAGGGGTCACACTCAAGAAGTTTGTGGTCTGAAGTGGTCAGGATCTGGACAGCAACTAGCTAGTGGTGGCAACGACAATGTGGTGCACGTATGGGATCGTTCTGTCGCCTCCTCAAACTCAACCACGCAATGGCTGCACAGGCTTGAGGAACATACATCTGCTGTGAAAGCTCTCGCTTGGTGCCCTTTCCAAGCAAATTTGCTTGCAACTGGTGGTGGTGGAGGAGACAGGACGATCAAGTTCTGGAATACTCATACCGGAGCTTGCTTGAATTCAGTAGACACTGGTTCCCAAGTTTGTTCGTTGTTATGGAGCAAGAATGAAAGAGAGTTGCTTAGCTCACATGGATTTACACAGAATCAGCTTACTCTTTGGAAGTACCCATCCATGGTGAAAATGGCTGAGCTGACTGGTCATACATCGAGAGTCCTTTATATGGCTCAGGTAAATACAAATCAAATCTTCTTCATCTTTAGCAGCTTTGTGTTGAGGTTCTTTGATCCTAAAAGTTGTGGTGTGTGTTGTATATCTTACAGAGTCCGGATGGTTGTACCGTGGCTTCAGCAGCAGGAGATGAGACTCTGAGGTTTTGGAATGTGTTTGGAGTACCAGAGACCGCCAAAAAGGCAGCTCCAAAAGCTGCTCCGGAGCCATTTTCTCATGTGAATCGTATTCGTTGAAATTGTGAAGACAAAACCCATTGACAGTTGTTAATACAGTTATACAGAAGCAAAAAAAATCATCTTTTTTTCCGGATTCATTCTTCATGAATTGTATTGAGAAGAAAGGAGTTGTACAATTTTATACAGTATTCGTTAATTATTGAGTCAAACGTGATTACTATGCTGAATAGAAAATATTTTATTTTACATGTGTTCTGATGATACAAGAGGAAGTACTGAAGAAGGATAAGTCTTGTAACTCTCCACATTAATGTTATCACCCTACTATGCACACTTTACAGTTTATACAGTTAGAAATCTTGAACCCACATTAATCTTATCACACTACTATTATAAACACTTAATATAGTTAGGAATTCTATATATAGTTTATCAATCTCAATTCTCAAGTAATCTACCATGAATATTGTATTTTTATGCGAGTATTCTCGAGGGTAATACGTGAATTGTATAAACTATAAATCTATAATAATACGAAAATTGGTATTTTTTAGGTTTAAAACAAAATATGATCCGCAAAAAACGTAGATATTATAAATGTTAAATAGTTTTTGTGGATAGTATCTAGTTTACAATAGACGATAACTGGTTAATGATGTTGATATTTGTTTACTTTTTGTAATTTTGTATGAAATTTATTTTCTATTTTTTGTATTGTTTATAATAACTCTAGATTGAAGGGACATGTGAAATTTATGAATAACGTACTTATTTATTTAAAAAATCCAACAAATTATAGCCTAAATATTATTCGTTTAGACAAAAAAAAATGTTATATCATTTCTATAGCAGAGAATTTGTAATCAAATGAACAAAGTAATGGGCTTCCTTACACACTTGTGAGTTAACAAAAATCACAATCGGTTGGTTTTGCTTTGGTACGGTAAGATTTCAAAGAATTATTCACCAGTAATTATTTTTTTGGAAAATAAAATACCAATAAGCATTTTTTAATTTTTTTTGTGGATATACAAATATTAAAATGAGATCAGTAGATTGTTTTTGTTGCCTAAACGTAGCCGTCTCCGGTACAGAGAGGGAGAGGGCATCTCCCGTCAACATAATTCTCAAACGGCTCTCTCTCTCTCTCTCTCTCTCTCTCAGGAATATAGCCGTTACCAACTTTCCGATTATAGAATTAGACTCTGCGAAACCCTAAAAATTGAGAGACTCCCCTGCTTTCATATAAATATCCCCAAGTTTCGTACTTTCTCAATCACTTCTCTCTGCTCTCTCCCTCCTCTCTCAACATCATCAGCTCTTCGCTCTTACACTCTCGCGCTTTGCTCTCTCTACTCGAATTTGCTAACGTTTTCCTACTCTGCAGGCCTTACTCTGATTAATTTCGTTTAATCTTCAGCTTAAATCTTCTTTCGTATATCCATTGCTTTTGTGTTTTCTATTTGTTTGGGATTTTTCTTTGTGTTTGTTTGTTGATAATGGATACAGGTTTGAATCGGTGCCCACTTCAAGAACACTTTCTCCCCAGGAAAAGTTCCAAGGAAAATGTGAGTGTTTCGAATCTACCACTTTCATTCATTCAGGACCTTTTCCATTATGATTTTGTGTTTTCGAATCAAATTCTGTTTTACCGATATTGATATGTCTCTCAATATTTCCTCGTGAATTAGATTTGGACGCACGAATTGTTGATTCTGTTTTTTCTTTTTTTTTGGGTTTTGTTATAAGAGAAATGATTAATTTGTTCTTGCGTAAATTTGATTTATGGTATTGATTGAAATTGTACTGATTTGCTTATGTTATCTTCCACCAGCTGGATAGGTTCATACCCAACAGATCAGCTATGGATTTTGACTATGCTCACTACGCCCTCACCGAAGGGAGGAAAGGTCAGGATCAAGCTGCAGCGGTAAGTTCACCAACCAAAGAGGCCTACAGGAAGCAGTTGGCTGAGACCATGAATCTCAATCACACCCGCATCCTCGCCTTCAGAAACAAACCTCAAGCTCCTATAGATCTGCTTCCCACCACTCACTCTGCTTCTCTTCACCAACAGCCTAAATCCGTGAAACCTCGCAGGTATATTCCTCAGGTATTTATGGCGTTTGATCCTTAGAGTCCATCTACTTGTTGCTGTTATTGGAGTTGTATTGATCTGTTGTTTAACTTTTTCTCTTGTAATAATAGACTTCTGAGAGAACCTTAGATGCACCTGACATTATGGATGACTTCTACCTCAACTTGCTGGACTGGGGCAGTGCTAATGTCCTAGCCATAGCCTTGGGGCACACTGTTTATTTGTGGGATGCTTCCACTGGTTCTACATCTGAGCTTGTCACCGTTGATGAAGAGATGGGACCTGTCACAAGTATCAACTGGGCTCCTGATGGTCGTCATGTTGCAGTTGGACTCAACAACTCTGAAGTCCAGCTCTGGGATTCCGCTTCAAACCGTCAAGTAACTACAAAAGTCCCTTTTCTCTTTTGTTAACATATAATTTTGATGTTAGTCTGATTTTGTTCATCATATATATCTGTAGCTGAGAACATTGAAGGGTGGTCACCAGTCAAGGGTAGGATCATTGGCATGGAACAATCACATCTTGACTACTGGAGGAATGGATGGACAGATCATCAACAATGATGTGAGGATCAGATCACCCATCGTGGAGACTTACCGAGGCCACACTCAAGAGGTTTGTGGTCTGAAGTGGTCAGGATCTGGACAGCAACTAGCAAGTGGTGGCAACGACAATGTGGTACACATATGGGATCCTTCTGTTGCCTCCTCAAACTCAACCACGCAATGGCTGCACAGGCTTGAGGAACATACATCTGCTGTGAAAGCTCTTGCGTGGTGCCCTTTCCAAGCGAATTTGCTTGCAACTGGTGGTGGTGGAGGAGACAGGACAATCAAGTTCTGGAATACTCACACCGGGGCCTGCTTGAATTCAGTAGACACTGGTTCCCAAGTTTGTTCGTTGTTATGGAGCAAGAATGAAAGAGAGTTGCTTAGTTCACATGGGTTCACACAGAATCAGCTTACACTTTGGAAGTACCCTTCCATGGTGAAAATGGCTGAGCTCACCGGTCATACATCAAGAGTTCTATATATGGCCCAGGTAACTTAATCAATTTCTTTAGGGGCTGAAAGTAATTTGAGGTTTTGAGTTCATTAGTCCTATAAACTTATGTTCTTTTTTTTGTGTATTTTCTACAGAGTCCAGATGGTTGTACTGTAGCTTCAGCAGCAGGAGATGAGACTCTGAGATTCTGGAATGTTTTTGGAGTACCAGAGACCGCCAAAAAAGTTGCTCCAAAAGCTGTTTCCGAGCCATTTTCTCACGTGAATCGTATTCGTTGAAGTTGTGACTAAACAATAAGGAAACCCATTTGATCGTTACAAAAAAAAAATATGTAGTTTTTAATTACCAAAGGTTCATTCTTCGTGAACTGTATTGACAAATAGAGATTGAGTTTGAATATAGAGATTACTTGTATATATTGAATAAAAAGATTATGATTTTAAACTACTCTATAAGGATATCCATTTTTACTATTCCTTATTATGTTCAGTACCTTTGTACATTCTCACTTTTGCCTTCTTTCAAGTCTCTTCTGGTTATGCCAACTCCAGACTTCATTCCCGAAAGAGTGGTACTGTCATAGATAAAAGATAGAGAATTTTCAAATGTTTCTTCAGTCGTTGATGTTTGAAAAATGGACTAATTTGAGTATTTTAATCACTAGTACGAAAATTTATTGTCCTACTCTAAATTATCACAGTCAACTGAGTCTTTATACTGAGAGGTCATAATGAAGCACAAGTTCATTCAAGGTACTAAATCTTCTATCACATTACCTTGAGGTATGCAAGCAAACATCAATATAAGTTAAAAGTCACTTGGCGCTCAAAGAATCCAGAACTTTGTAAATATTAGACTATCTTTTTTTATGATTCAGAACTTTGTCACCTAGAAAGCTTCGAGAATGTGACGGTTCTTGGCAGCTTCATCCCTTAGCTGTTGGAACCTAGCAGTCTGCAAAAGTACAAGATGGTGGCATGGTGCTATCTCTAGACAAGTTCATTGAGCAATGAGCACCAAGTGACTAACAACAGTGGATGAGTTGTTTGGTAGAGACTGGAAGTATTGTTACCGCAGAATGAATTTAAGAGTAAACTGTACACTGCAAATTTTGCTCTTGCCTCTGTTTTTTTTTTGTTTTTTTTTTTTTTTTGTGTTATATTACTAGGTACACTACTAGGTGTACTCCAACACAACAGATCGTATTACCAAAGAAAACAACTTCTTTTGGGTCTGCTTGTTAACCAGCTGTGAAGTAAATATACATGCATTTAAGCACAAATCCGTAATCCAAAATATAAACTCCTATCAGTAATCCATTTCTAACAAAAAAAACAAAAGAAAGATTATAGAATCTTCATGTACCATCCCCCAGAAGCTTTTAATTTCATTCTCAGCTGGCTCTATATAAACATAAAAAGAGGAAGAAGCATAAATAAAAAGATTTTCCTAATCATATCACGACTTTTGTTTGAGAATTCCGCAGAAATATTCATACTTTGTTCACACAGTTGGAGAGAAGAAGATGAAAAGTTACAAATAATACAATTAGGAGAGGAGGAGCATCACTACTATTTCGTTTTTTTCAGCCAATCAAAACGCTCTATTTTATACCCACTCGCACAAAGTGCGCGTTGCGCGAGTGTATGCAATTCCTGTATGCCCCCAAAATCGTGCCTATTTGATTCAACGCACTTCTTTCTCAAAAACTCGTCGCGTGGCTTTAATGTTTTTTTCTTTTCCTTCTTTTTCTTAAAATTTAATTTATGTCGGTTTACATAACTTAAAACCATGTAAACCGAACCAAAATCAATTGCAATTGTTCCTGATCTCATGGGCGTAGAATCTCAGATTTGTTTTTGCGCACATTACTCTTTCTTTGGGCCTTTAAATTTTTACAATGACATATTTACAACTTGCTAACAATTAGGATAAACAAAAATTTTGATTTATAATATAGTGATTATTTTTATACCTTTAAAACCTAATTAATTTAATTTAAATACACATATACAATAATATATGATATATTAATATCCAAGTTTTGGATTTCTTTGTTTTAATATTTATCTTAGTTAAACTATTTAGTATATATAGTTTTAGGACACTGTAATGAAAAATTTATTTACCAAAACAATCCTTAGGTACTTTTATTTCTTTTGGACAATCCTTAGGCTTATTCTATCATTCTATACTGAGCCCTAAACTTTTGTCAATTGCAACACTAAGCCTAGACGACAAAGCTTCGTCGTTTTTGCCCATAAACCCTAGATCCGTCTCAGCCGCGAATTAGCTCCTCTGCACATCTCAGTAAAAAAATCACGAAGAGACAGACAGAAACGGAGCCAGAGAAAAAGGAGAGATGGGAAGAGAGATCCAGTCCCCGCAGGAACAGAGCGAGTCTTACACTGTTGAGCAGCTCGTCGCCGTCAATCCTTTCAATCCTGAAATCTTACCTGATCTCGAAAACTACGTTAACGAGCAGGTTCCTCTCCGATTTCCCAAAAATTTTAGGGGTTCCTTTATCAATTGACATTAGCGCTTCCTCGATTCTCATTTCGGAGTAAATTACAATGTGTTTAGCTTTCTATTGTAGAAATCTTCTTCCATTGATTGTTTTTGGTTTCGTTATGATTTTTGTAGGTTACATCGCAAACGTATAGTCTGGAAGCAAACCTATGCTTGCTTCGGCTCTATCAGGTGCTCTAGCTGTTCATATGATCATAATAGCCATACCTGTACATTGTTTTTTTTAGTTTCTCCGATCGTTTACTGGCATTATTGTTTCTTTTATGCAGTTTGAGCCTGAGCGCATGAATACTCACATTGTGGCTCAAATCTTGGTCAAGGTATATGGCAGACCACTTTCAGATTAACCAATGTTTTTTGGCTTATGAATTACTCTCTCTGATTTTGTTTTCTCTTTTGTGAAGGCTCTTATGGCTATGCCAACTCCAGATTTCAGCCTTTGCCTCTTCTTGATTCCTGAGAGAGTGGTATGTTTCTTTCGGTTTTACTTCCTAGTTGCTTTCATCGGTTTCATAAGTTGAGTCATCGCCAATACACAGATAACAATTTTTCAAAATGTTTCTTCAGTCGTTGATGATTGAGAACTAAATAGGAGTATTTCAGTCACCAGTACCCAAATTATTATGCTACACAAAATTAGTGAGCTCAGTTTTTATTCGGAGAATCAATAGACGCACTTGTCTGTATTGTGTTTTCAGCAAATGGAGGAGCAGTTCAAGGCACTAATTGTTCTATCACACTACCTTGAGGTACGCAAACATCAGTATAAGTTTTTTGACTTGGGGCAGAAAAGATGAACACTGAGTATTTAAAACACTTGTTTTACTTTTGCAGACTGGGAGGTTTCAACAATTCTGGGATGAAGCTGCCAAGAACAGTCAGATTTTCGAGGCTGTTCCAGGTAAGAAAGTTCTGGATCATAAATAAGTCGTATATTATTGAAAAAGTTCGGGATCTGAATTAGTTATTAGTCTAAAAATCCCAGCCATGTGAAATTTATTGGTTACTCCTTCATGGTACTATCTATTCATATTATGATTGTGTATAGATGTCTAATATGCAAGTGATTAAATGCAGGTTTTGAGCAAGCTATCCAAGCATATGCAAGTCACCTTCTTAGCTTAAGCTACCAAAAGGTTCCAAGATCTGTGCTTGCTGAGGTATGATGTTTGGTTTATGATTTTTGACAAACAGCCAGATTTTCAGCATGATTATCTTTATTAAATGGTTGACCTCTTTGGAAGTGAAATCTCACACTTTTGTGTGTATTAGGTTCTTCCAGATCATAATAGTTTTAGTAATCTAAGTTGTTGATCTTTTGTTGTCGAGACAAGCCTTTGCTCATTAGCTGTGAACATTTTGCACAGGCTGTTAATATGGATGGTGCATCTCTAGAAAAGTTCATCGAGCACCAAGTGACTAACAGTGGATGGATTGTTGAGAAAGAGAATGGAAGTATTGTCTTACCTCAAAATGAATTTAACCATCCGGAGCTGAAGAAAAATACGGGTGAGAATGTTCCTTTGGAACACATCGCCCGCATCTTCCCCATCCTTGGTTGAACCAATTTATGAGGACACTGCAAAGCTCTCCTTTTGTCTCTGGTTTTCTTGTGATGTACACTTTTTAAGACACTGTAATGCCTTTCTCTTTTGCAAATTGGAGAGATTTTCTTCTAAATCAAGTAGACCAAAACGAAAAACTTGCGTTTAGCCAGGTCTCTTGGAATATTGGAATGGGCATTTCATATGAGGGTCGTTTTGAAATACAATTATACTCCTTTGTATCGTCGTCCACACTCTCTTACACACATACGAAGATTGATAGCCATCCATTTGGAAGCTCACGTGTTTGACACCAAATCATGGTCACGTGCTCCTTTTTCTCCTTTCCCATGCACACATTTTGACTGCCCCTATTTTCTTCTTCTTCTTCTTTATGATAAAATTTTGATTGTTAACTTAAAACTATAATTTAGCTAGATTCATCTCGTATCTAAGATGATTTGCCTAAACTATTTTATTAAGACCATAACTTTTGATTTGTGTGGTAAGCCAATCTGCATGTATGCCAGCCGTATACAGGACTGTTTGAATTGCTTAGCAAAAACTAATAATTGAATTTTTATTAATAAATAATGAACCTGTAATAATATTCTATAATTTTTTAATTTGGTCGACAACAACAATGAAGCTCTAAAAAGTTTATTTTTTCTATGGCAATCATCATATAATAATTTGTTTTTTTTCTTTTTAAATATATTTAGTCGACATAATGAAGACTAATGAAGAAATATACATGTGATATACGTAATTTGAGAAACGTGTAAAGATATAATGGTGGGATATATATGTGAATAAAAAGTGAAATCGAAGAAGAAACAAAGGCAACAAACAACCAAACAAAGATCAGACAACAAGTCGTGAACATAAAAACGGGAGAAACAAGGAAAAAAAAAAAAGGCAACGGAGCGAGCACAAAGAAACTGCAAATCTTCGTTTGTGTAATCCATTCAAACCTTCTTATCGTAATTTGTATCTGTTCAATTTTGGTGTGTGTGTGCGTGTGTTTGTTTTCTTCTTTCTCCTCTTTGAATCTCTCTTGCTGGGTATCCGATAATTTCGAGGAAGGAAAAAAACTGTATTCAACCTTGCCATTTTCTCAGCTTTGCACTTTTATGGTTAATTGGTTCCTCGAAATTGATTTCAAATTCGTATCCATAAGAAATTTCTGCTTTCCTTTTTTGCCACTCTTCTGGATTTTCCATGTTCGTTTCTTATGATATCTATTAAAAATTTGATCTTTTGTTTCTTTGTAGTTTATAGCGTTCGGAGTCTCGTGACAGCGAGAGTTACTGGTTTAGGGGGTTTATCGGTTCGCAATTGTTGATTTCTGGGATCAAGACACAAGGATTTTGAGAGTTTGAGAAATTGGAAATGAGATCTAATGATCTTCAATCGGTCATAAATTCTGGATTTTGAAGTCTGAGAGTGACCCATTGACTTGGTCTCGACCTCATAGATATCTTATTCCAGGTTAATCTCTCTCTTTCATGTCCGCTTACTTCGTTTAAGACAAGCTTATGTTGATTTTTCGTGGTTATAAATTTCATCTTCAGGGGGATCAAGGATTCGTAGGACTTGATGCGATTAAGCAAATGGTTCTGTCATGATGACTCTCCTTGTTCCTGCTGGAGATTCAATTAATGGACTCACCAGATAACAACAAAGCACCTGGATTTGTTGACATAGTCAAATCTTGGATCCCTAGAAAGAGTGAGTCTTCAAAAATGTCGAGGGATTTTTGGATGCCTGACCATAGCTGTCCTGTGTGTTATGAGTGTGATGCTCAGTTCACTGTGTTTAATCGAAGGCATCATTGTCGGCTTTGTGGTCGAGTCTTTTGTGCCAAATGCGCTGCAAATTCTATTCCATCTCCATCTGATGAAACTAAGAACACTCATGAGGAGCCAGAACGGATTAGGGTTTGTAATTACTGCTACAAACAGTGGGAACAAGGGATTGTTCCCCCTGATAATGGAGCGTCTATCATTAGCCTTCATTTTAGCTCATCCCCTTCTGCTAGGAGTGTCGCAAGCACTGCCTCAAATTGCACCTCTAATAGCAGCAATTGCACCATTGATTCAACTTCTGGACCTTCCCCTAGACCTAAAATGAATCCCCAATCTAGCCGTCGTGTCTCGTCAAACATGGATTCTGAGAAGTCTGAGCAGCAGAATTCATCATTGCATAGGACCCCTGATCCTTATGCCAATGTGTTAGATTCTTCTGAAAATCAAGTTGAATTCTTTGTAAACAGGTAACTTTTTTTCCTTTTTGGTTTGTTTGTGTGTATCATGTAGTTTCTTTTATATGATGTCTTTAATCACGAGGTTTGTATAATACTCACCACCAACCGTGTGTGTTATACTGGGTCTTTTATAATGATTAATTATTGTCTCAGCCTAGATTTATATGTTGAGTTGCTCATTTTCGGGATTGGTAGTGGCAGGAGTGATGGTGAAGCTGATGATGACGATGATTATCACTCTGATTTTGCACAATCTTACTCTCAAGGAAATGACTACTATGGTGCCATCAGCCTTGATGAAGTAGAGCATATCTATGGGTCACATGAAGCTCATGACGTGGGTGTAAATATAGAGCCAGACAGTTGCTTCCCCCCTGACTCACTGAATACAGAGACAATAGATGAAACCAGACAACAAGCAAATGGATGGAACGATGTGAAGGAGGGAAGCCCTCCTTGTGAAGAGTCCTTTGAGCTCGAAGTAGTGGATTTTGAGAGTGATGGGCTCTTATGGCTACCGCCAGAGCCAGAGAACGAAGAAGATGAAAGAGAAGCAGTACTATCTGATGATGACGGTGATGAAGGTGATAGAGGTGATTGGGGGTACCTACGCCCATCAAATAGCTTTAACGATAAGGAGTTCCATTCTAGGGACAAGTCCAGTGGTGCTATGAAAAATGTTGTGGAAGGGCACTTTAGGGCTTTGGTAGCGCAACTTTTGGAGGTTGATAATCTACCTATGGTCAATGAAGGCGATAGAGAGGGCTGGCTTGATATAATTACATCATTGTCTTGGGAGGCCGCAACACTTCTGAAGCCAGATACAAGTAAAGGTGGAGGAATGGATCCAGGTGGATATGTGAAGGTTAAATGCATCCCTTGTGGACTTCGCAGTGAGAGGTGACTTTTTTGGAACCTTTTATATGGGATTGTTTACTGTGCTTGATGTTTGTTCTAGATACAGTTGCATATATGGATTTTTCAAATACTATTCATGATTGAACTTTATGAATAATATTTAACGCAATGACATAATGGTTGACAATTTCATCCACTCATCTTTAGGATTAACTTGAATGACATTTATTTTCGATTTATGTGAGACTGTTCATAGATTTGCATTCATCAGTTATTATTTACCCAAATGCTCACAATTCTATATGTAGGAAGAATGTTTAATACTTATATTTAGTTTCCAGGATATTCCCCCGAGTCTGTTATTTTTTGTAGGCCTCCATGTCTTGTGTTTTATATTCTTTCTATGAGCAGAGTTTCCATATTTTGTTTATGACTGCTTCTCTAATAGTAAGAGAGTGACATTATTCACGAACACTAAAAGTAGAAAGGGATTACATCTTTGTTGTATTTGTTTTCATATTTATTTTCTGAATCCCAATGAAAAAAGTATGCCAACTAAATTTTCTGAAAGATTACAGGATGATTTAGAGCTTTTATCTTGTTGTTGTCCGTTATTGATAGTTTCACTACTTAAAGTCTAGCTGAAAACGTAATGTTATGCTTTATATTAGCTTCATGAGTTTGTTGTGAATATTTCGTGAGGATTTGTTCTCTGTCGATTGATTGCTAAACTCTGTAGTACTGATTAAACTGGGATGGTATTCTTTTAGTATGGTCGTGAAAGGAGTTGTTTGCAAGAAAAATGTGGCTCATCGGCGAATGACTTCAAAGCTTGAGAAGCCGCGTCTGCTAATCCTTGGAGGAGCTCTGGAGTATCAGCGCATTTCTAACCAGCTGTCTAGTTTTGACACTTTGTTGCAACAGGTCTGAATCATCGCCATTCTTCTTCTAAACTTTTCCCTGTAACCTGGCTGTTGAAATTTTCTGCTCTATTAAAGGCTATTTCTGGTGTTTCAGGAAATGGACCATTTGAAGATGGCTGTTGCCAAAATTCATTCTCACAATCCCGACATTCTATTGGTGGAGAAATCTGTCTCGCGATTTGCTCAGGAATATCTTCTTGCAAAGGACATATCTCTTGTGTTGAATATTAAAAGGTCTCTTCTAGAACGCATATCCCGCTGTACTGGTGCGCAGATTGTCCCTTCAATCGACCAGCTCACATCACCAAAACTGGGATATTGTGACCTGTTCCATGTGGAAAAGTTTGTCGAGAAACATGTTAGTCCTTCTCAAGCTGCGAAGAAAATGGCCAAAACTTTAATGTTTTTTGATGGGTGCCCTAAGCCTTTGGGTTGTACGGTAAGTTCCACAACATTTTTAGGTGTATTTAAGACATGAGATCCTTAACCTGTTATTATGACTATGCATATGGTATGTCTGATTCTAAAAAAAGAAATTAAAGTATGGTTGCTTGATCTGTTTTTTTCAGATATTGCTCAAGGGGGCTCATGAAGATGAGCTAAAGAAGGTAAAACATGTGATCCAGTATGGAGTTTTTGCAGCATATCACTTGGCTCTTGAGACATCTTTCCTAGCAGATGAAGGTGCTTCGCTTCCAGAACTTCCTCTGCAGACCCCAATTACTGTGGCTTTACCTGATAAACCATCAACAATTAACAGATCAATATCCACAATACCTGGTTTTTCTGCGTCAAGTGCTGAAAAGTCTCCAACTACTGAATTAAGGGATGGGCCACATAAAGCCAATGTCGACCTTACTGGTAATTTCGCTTCTAGTATGACTCATTTACAAGGGAAATTGGATGGAAACGACATTGACCCATCTGAAGAACTGCTTCACAACTTGGATACTGTTTACTGTAAGCCTCCAGAAACTATTATCTCTAAAGACGGTGGATTGGTTCCTACTCTAGAACCCAGGCAGCTATCATTTCACAAGGAAGAACCTTCTGTTCAAAAAGATCAGTGGTCTGTTTTACCCTGTGCCACAGAACAAGTAACCGATGGTGCTTACACGAATGATACCGCAGGAACAGGAGATCAAAATTGTAGTAGACAGAAACAAATGGACTCTTCGAAAGGAGACTTTCTTCCGTCAGCGTCTGACCATCAAAGTATATTGGTTTCATTATCCACAAGATGTGTGTGGAAAGGATCTGTGTGTGAACGGGCTCATCTACTCCGTATCAAATACTACGGGAGCTTTGACAAGCCTTTAGGACGGTTCTTAAGGGATAATCTCTTTGATCAGGTACCTTTCATTTCAAGTGTTTTTTTTTATTACTTAATTCTTCTTTGAGGAAACTGAACCATGTGGACCAGCTAATCCATTTAAATCCTATGGTTACACACTTGTTAGCCTATTATTTTGATATGGATAATTGTGGAAGTCATTTAAAAAGGTTCTAGGTTCAGAGAATCATAAAAGAACCCATGAGATAGTAGGAGGGTGAGTTTAAGAGAGAGAAAGTGGACAGAAAAGTACATAGATGACATTAATATGCTTCACAGATTCCAAGTTAATTAAATGTGTAAGACCAGAAGTTAATAGAACCTATCATGTTGGTATAAACTTCTGGTCATTAATAGCTGAGGCTTGCATAATTTCTTGTTCAGGATCAGAACTGCTCATCATGTACGATGCCAGCGGAAGCACACATTCATTGTTATACTCATAGGCAAGGTAGTCTGACAATATCTGTTAAGAAACTGCCTGAATTGCTACCTGGGCAACGTGAAGGAAAGATTTGGATGTGGCATCGATGTCTAAAATGTCCGCGAATCAATGGCTTTCCTCCAGCCACACGCAGAATTGTGATGTCAGATGCTGCGTGGGGCTTGTCTTTTGGCAAATTTTTGGAGCTGAGCTTTTCTAACCATGCAGCGGCTAGTCGTGTAGCCAACTGTGGTCATTCCCTTCACAGAGATTGTCTCCGGTTCTATGGGTATGTAGAGATGCTTCCTAATAAACACTTTTGTCGCTGGTTGTTTCTCTTGCTTTTATTACTTGTTACTGATTTTTCCTCTTCCAATATATCTTATTTTTCTAGTAGCATGTTGTGTTATGCAATCAAGCATAACACTTAATATACACTACATAAGATAAACTGTTTTGGTAGGCTCTGTGTAAGTAGTTGTGTTGGTCATTCACATCTCGAATCTATATGGCAAGTATCAGTCTATGTTGTTGTGACCTTGTATTAAACTAGCATGAACATGTCAGTACTGAGTGTCATATTTTCCTCTCTACAGTTTCGGGAGAATGGTGGCTTGCTTCCGCTATGCGTCAATCAATATTTATGCAGTTTTTCTGCCACCAGCAAAACTTGAGTTCAACTATGAGAACCAGGAATGGCTCCAAAAGGAATCAAAAGAGGTTACAAGTTCCCCGTATTTTTAGTCAAATATTTGTACATATCAACGTAGCCAGGAGTTTTATTTAACTTATTTTTCATGGTTTTAATACTATAGGTGATTAAAAAGGCAGAAGTCCTTTTTAATGAGGTTCAGGAAGCTCTTAGTCAGATTTCAGCGAAAACAATGCGTGCAGGTTCCAACGGTAGCACTCCCAACAAGATAAAGCTTTCTCTTGAAGAACTTGGTGGACTTCTTGAGCAACGTAAAGAGGAATATAAGGTAGCCTGTCATGCAACTTACACACTGTTAGACTTAAGAAGAAACAGAGGTGCATGTTCTTTTTGCATTGCATCACTCACAGTCACACTTGCACTCACACAGACAGAACCCAAACACCCACGTACACATACACACCTACACTCAGGACACACCCCCGCGTTCATACTTCTCAGTTCTCACGAAATAAATATAGAAACATGGTTACATGTAGACATTTTTGGTATATACATATTAATAGTTAATTATTAACACGCGAATACAGAAATGGTTGTTTCTTCGCTACAATCCTAGGACAGTTCTTAGTTGAGCTCAAAAAAATGATCAAAAAGTTGTTTTCCAATCAATTGTAGAAGTTTGTTTCATGATCTGCTGGCCTTGATAGGAACACGTCATTTACTTAGTCTCTGCACCTGGAATCCTTTCTACAGTGTCGGATGATTTTTCTGTTTCCTCTATTTGCAATACTAATTAAGGCTGTTGCTGGTTTTCAGGAATCATTGCAGCAAATGTTAAGTGTGTCTAAGGATGGACAACCTACTATTGATATCCTTCTGATAAACAAACTTCGAAGACTGATACTTTTCGATTCATATGCTTGGGATGAATGCCTAGCCGGGGCTGCCAGTATGGTAAGAAATAACTATTCTGAAGCTCCGAGGAATCCTGCCCCAAAAGTTATGGGTCGCAACATTTCCTTAGAGGAGCTTGGAGATGAAAAAATAAGGTCGACACCCACCAGTGTTGCAAGTAGTAATGACTCTATTCTCCAGGATGCGGAGTATGATACGTGTCTTAAACAGGGTAAACCTTTTGCTGATTTAAGCGGAAAAATTGCTGCTATTCCTGAACATGTAGGCTCGGACATCCCCCCGGATTGTAGGATTGATTTCGAGCCTAGGGAAGGTGGTAAAGATAATTTTTTGGAGCCTTCACAGGTGGTTAAAACAGTACTGTCTGAGAGCCAGTCGCAAGCAACAGATTTATCTGATACTCTTGATGCAGCATGGATAGGTGAACAAACTACTTTAGAGAATAGTATTTCCCGTCCGCCCAGCAGAGCTGCTTCAGCAAATGAAACTCAGATTCCTGATTTAAGGCTGTTGGGTTCAGAAAGTGGGATGAACATTAAAAGCGGCCCTACCAGTGATGAACAAACAACACAAGTTCAGATGCCTTCTCCTAGTTTTTACTATTCACTCAACAAAAATTATTCGCTTAATTCTCGAAAGCATATTATGGCTGAAGACCGGCCTGTTTATGTTTCTTCATATAGAGAGCTTGAATGGCGAAGTGGTGCTAGGCTCCTACTTCCTCTGGGAGTTAATGACTTGGTACTGCCGGTCTATGATGACGAACCTACCAGTATCATAGCTTATGCCCTTACATCATCAGAATATAAAGCCCAGATGTCTGGATCAGATAAGTCAAGAGATCGCTTGGATAGTGGAGGTTCCTTTTCACTTTTTGATTCTGTTAATCTTCTCTCATTGAACTCTTTGAGCGATTTGTCAGTTGACATGAGTAGAAGTCTTAGCTCTGCTGATGAACAAGTCTCGCAGCTGTTACAGTCATCACTTTATATGAAAGATCTGCATGCTAGGGTTTCGTTTACAGACGAAGGTCCTCCTGGGAAAGTGAAGTACTCTGTGACATGTTATTATGCTAAGGAATTTGAAGCCCTGAGGAAGATTTGTTGTCCTTCAGAAACAGATTTTATTAGATCTCTTGGTCGTTGTAGAAAATGGGGAGCACAGGGTGGAAAGAGCAACGTCTTCTTTGCAAAAAGTTTGGATGACCGTTTCATCATCAAGCAAGTTACAAAGACAGAGCTTGAGTCCTTCATCAAATTTGGGCCAGCTTACTTCAAATACCTGACTGAGTCCATCAGTACTAAAAGCCCTACAAGCCTTGCAAAGATCTTGGGGATCTATCAGGTACAAAAAAAAATCAAAATAGTCAACTAACAATCTCTCTGAACTAACTACTGTACATGATAATTGTGAATCCTTTTGCTCGACTCAAACCGTAGTTTTTATTGTTCTCTTTTGCTGACATTTAATGAGGGTCATAACTCTTTACTAATTTTTTAAAGGTTTCATCCAAACACCTTAAAGGAGGAAAAGAGTTCAAAATGGACGTCTTGGTGATGGAGAACCTTCTATTCAAGCGGAACTTCACTAGGCTGTATGACCTAAAAGGCTCCACTCGTGCTCGTTACAATCCTGATACAAGTGGTAGCAATACAGTTTTGCTGGACCAGAATCTTGTTGAAGCGATGCCAACATCTCCAATATTTGTTGGGAGCAAGGCAAAACGGCTTCTTGAAAGAGCTGTCTGGAACGATACATCATTTCTTGCTGTAAGTTTCTGGTTACTACTCTTCTTTAATCCCTTTTGAAATACTGAACTTGTATGTGGGCTTTACATACTGATACTGATGCAAGACATGTCTTGGTTCGTTTCTTTGGCTGAAGTCGATTCACGTAATGGACTACTCCTTACTAGTCGGGGTAGATGAGGAACGAAACGAACTGGTTCTAGGAATTATCGATTTCATGAGGCAATACACCTGGGACAAACATCTGGAGACTTGGGTCAAGACTTCAGGGCTCCTTGGAGGACCGAAGAACTCATCTCCCACAGTGATATCGCCGCAGCAGTACAAGAAAAGATTCAGGAAAGCAATGACAGCTTATTTTCTGATGGTTCCTGACCAATGGTCGCCTGCCACCGTTGTGCCAAGCAACAGTTCTTCAGCAGAGGTGAAGGAGGAAGATGAGAGAGACAATCCTCAAGCAACAGTTGGTAACAAGTCCTGAAGCATTTTGCAAGAGACGTACATTCAGTTAGCAAATATAGTATTTTTTATTTTCTTTGGTTGGAATGGTCTTTGGGTAATTTGTGCTTATGTATTACCTTAGGTGTGGCATATACCTCTTCCATCACCTTTGCATCAGAATTTGTAAAAGCAAGATGCAACTGTACATACCCTGCTTCAACCTTTTAGAGTCATTATTCGTTACATTTGTTTAGTAACATTTTGCTTAGTAAGGGCAACATTATCAAAGGTATTTAAAAGCTAAGATTTACATAGGAAAGATACTTTCCTATGTAAATCCTTTCCAATGTAAATCTTAGCTTTAAGATACCCTTGATAATGTTGGTCTAAGTGTGTCAACTGCCCATATATTCTTTTTTATTTCTGGAACGCATTCATTCGTTTAAAGATGGGATCCTTGAAGAACTTAAAGGTCGTTGGCATTACATCTTAAAGTTTTTTATAGTCCAACCAAACTCATCAGATGTAGGGAATCTAACCACCAGTAGACGATTCGATCTAGAGTTAGTTGTCTCTCTTAGACCATCCTAAAATATTTTCTCAAGGAAAATCTTGCTCTAAGATACCTCTATTAAGGATGCTATAGTTTGGACTTGAGAGAAACGAATATAGCTCAACGTAGATAATTGATTTGGGGGACTTTGTTTGACTTATCACCTTTTTTTTTTTTGGAATTCTTAACGCATACAATTTGTTGTTTCATATAGGAAGCTAAAATTAGAACGCATGATATTGGCTCATTAGACAAACAATATACGTCAATCAAAACTGAGGAGAAATAAATAAACACAGGAAAAAAATAGAAAAGATTAATCTTCCATTTTTACCTCCCTGCCTTAGAAGCAAGCTAAGGCAGAGGAAATTTCAAAATTCTTCTCTCAAAAGTAAAAAGACAGGAAAACGTTTTAAGCAAAAATGGCTTTTCAAGACTTCGACAAGATTCAAGAACGCGTAAATGCGGAGAGAAAACGTAAATTCAGGAAGAGAATCATCTTTGGAATCGTTTCTGCACTGGTTGTCGTTGCTGCCATTATTGGAGGTGGTTATGCATATGTTACATATGAAAACAAAAGTCAAGACCAAGGGAAGACTACGAACAACAAAACTAAGGAGAGCCCCAGCAAAAGCGAGAGCCCGAGCCAGAAACCTCCAACATCTGCAGCACAAACTGCGAGCCAGAAACCTCCAACATCTGCAGCACAAACTGTGAAACCTAACCAGGTCGACAAGATTATCCAAACACTTTGCAATTCCACTCTTTACAAACCAGTTTGCGAGAAAACTCTTAAAAATGGGACAAAGACAGATACTCCTCTATCTGATCCCAGGGGCCTTTTAAAGTCTGCCATTGTAGCCGTCAATGAAGATCTAGATAGAGTATTCAAAAAGGTTGTGAGCCTGAAAACAGAGAAAAAAGATGACAAAGACGCTATAGCGCAGTGCAAGTTGCTTGTGGATGAAGCTAAGGAAGAACTTGGCACCTCTGTGAAAAGAATCAACGACACTGAGGCTAATAACTTTGGGAAAGTAGTTCCCGATTTGGACAGTTGGCTAAGTGCAGTCATGTCTTATCAAGAGACATGTGTCGATGGATTTGAAGACGGGAAACTCAAGACCGAGATACGTAAGAGTTTCAATTCTTCTCAAGTTCTAACGAGCAACTCGCTGGCGATGATAAAATCTATAGACGGATATCTTTCCCCGGTTCCAAAGCTTAAAACGCGTCATCTTCTTGAATCAAGAAGATCTTCAGCTGTAGAAAAAGATCATAGTACGTCTTGGTTAAGCAACAAGGAGAGACGAATGTTAAAAGCTGTTGATGTGAAAGCTTTGAAACCTAATGCTACAGTGGCTAAAGATGGCAGTGGAAATTTCACAACCATTAACGATGCACTTAAAGCCATGCCTGCTAAGTACAAAGGAAGGTACTAACCGTATCCTAATCATGCTTCCTATTTTATAACCAAGGCTTCCAGGCCTAGGCTTTATGCTTCACATGTTTCTGTAGGTACATCATCTATGTCAAACATGGAGTTTATGATGAATCTGTGATTGTTGACAAGAAGAAAGCTAATGTTACAATGATCGGTGATGGATCACAGAAGACGATCGTGACGGGAAACAAAAGCCACGCAAAGAAAATCCGAACGTTCCTCACAGCAACATTTGGTATATCCATACCCTGCTTTCTTAGAGTATTTGTGTTTGGCGTTGACCTTAATTTTGCTCAAAGAGACAACTGAGGCTTGAGTTTGAGGTGCAATCACCTTATTTGCGCTTGATTTACTTGTAGTGGCACAAGGAGAAGGATTCATGGCACAATCCATGGGGTTCCGGAACACGGCTGGGCCAGAGGGACACCAAGCGGTCGCAATACGTGTCCAATCCGACCGTTCTGTATTCCTAAACTGTCGATTTGAAGGCTACCAAGACACGTTATACGCATACACGCACCGCCAATATTACAGAAGTTGCGTTATTGTCGGAACAGTCGATTTCATCTTCGGTGATGCGGCAGCCATATTCCAGAACTGTGACATCTTCATCAGAAAAGGTTTACCGGGGCAGAAGAACACGGTGACTGCTCAAGGACGAGTGGATAAGTTTCAGACGACAGGCTTTGTGATTCACAATTGTACAATAGCTCCAAACGAAGATCTTAAACCCGCAAAAAAGACCGAGTTCAAGAGCTACCTTGGCCGGCCATGGAAAAAACAATCTCGGACCGTCGTGATGGAATCAACAATCGAGGATGTGATCGATCCCGTTGGCTGGTTGAGATGGCAAGAGACGGATTTTGCTGTCGATACATTGTTTTACGGGGAATACAAGAACGATGGTCCAAGCGGAGCAACCGCTTCTAGGGTTAAGTGGCCTGGTTTTAGGGTTCTCAAAAAGGAAGAGGCCATGAAATATACGGTGGGGCCATTCTTACAAGGGGAATGGATCCATGAGATTGGGTCTCCGGTTAAGTTTGGTCTTTATGATGCTTGATGCTTGCTTAAGACGTAAGCTGGTACGGTGCCTTGTTATCATTTTTTTTTTTTCTTTTAATTGATGTGCTTAAAGATGATATTGCATCTTGGAGTCACTAATAGAACATAAACATAGTTGAGGTAAAATTGAATGTTTTGTTGTAGAATATCGATTTCTACAGAAATATTTTTTCACACAATCACACGAAACAAGTTTTAAGGCGTTATGTTATGAAAGTTATTATTCCAAATAAATAAATAAAAATGGATGCATAAATAACATAACTTGGTCTATATGGTGATGATGAGATGCGTTCATCACTATAGTCACACCAATTGACGGATAAAATTTTATTTTTGAAACAATCAGAGAACCCTTTTTTTTTAAGTGATAGAATAAGTCATTATAGATATCCCAAAAGATGATTAAAGAAATAGCTTAGCACTTAACAAGGAAAACATTAAATAAACGTTGGCTGACTCTATTAGTAGCTTTCTAAAAGAGATCTCAGATCAGATAAAGTTTGAAATTTTTCTTTAAACCCGGAAACATCTTAGCCCGTAGGGTAGTCCAGACCATCAAGCTCATGGATCGCAACACCCTCAGCCACAGCGGCACATAAGGCGTGCGAGCATGGTATAGCCAACAAATTATACTCCCGGCAAGTGCATGTCTTTCGCTTTAGATTGACATGGAATGAACGTCGTCTAACATCTCCCCTCACATCATACTCAAATGCATCAACACGCTGAGCTGTAAAACCCTCGGAGATCTCTAAGTTTTGACGAATAAGTTGGCGTACCTTTGGAGGTAATGGGGATGTCTCAGCATTCACAGCCTCTCGCCTCATTGCAAACCATGTCCGCAAGGTCGTTTGGATAGACTCCAGCAGCGATATAACGGGAAGTTCTCTAGCTTCCTTTAAGGCGGCATTAACAGATTTGGCAACAATACACATCATAATGTTGTACCGGTTCCCCATGAAATGGGACCTTGTCCAATGGCCAAACCCTATCCCCTCTAGATAATTTGCACACTCCGGCTCGATCCTTCCAATCTCGGCAAAGGCAGCATGAAAATCATCTACGCGATATGCACGTGCAGCTTCAGATACAAGGTCAGCAAGATCACGATTGTTGAAAATAGTGCAAACCTCACTGTGCAAGTGTACCACACATGCCCCATGCGAAGCTTTAGGATATACCTAACAACAAAATGAAAGACTCATGGTTACTTAAAAATCTCTATAACCAACCAATAACCTTTTCTATAGTAATGAGTTATGATAACACTTACCTGGCTTATGCCTGCGCAAATTGACGAATGCCATTCCGAAACAAATGCCAAAGAACCACTATCAGGTACGACTGTAACGAGCATACGGAAAAACCAACCCCAAGCATCGTCGTTTTCTCCGTCAACAATGGCAAAGGCCAATGGAAATTCCTGAAAGTTAGGATCTTGGCAGCAAGCGGTTAGGAGGCAACCCTCAAATCTCCCACGTATAGGAGCTGCATCAAGGATGATGACACGACGCATGCTCGCAAACCCACTCAAAGAGAACGAGAATGCCAAGAACAGGTATTTGAACTTATTAGCTTCCATTTGGAGGTGTGTAACGGTTCCGGGGTAAGACTGACACAGACGATAGAGGTAAGAAGGCAGTAACGCAAAACTGCCATCAGGTTCACGTGATTCCCACGCTTTCCAGTAAGTCACCATCGCATTATGATTTTCTAGAAGAAGCTTCTGAAAATGACTCGCCTGAGCAAACTTTGATTTTTTTAAGCTCCTTATGAACTTGGTTGTCGCTTGTATACGGTATGCACTGCGATCCTCATCGGAACATGTGTGTCTTAGATTCGCACTTTTAATCTGATAAGCGTCAGAATCTTCTAGATTGACAATGTACACACGCCATGGGCATGAATCAGCTATGCAAGTTAACGTTGTCAATTTCTTGCTCGTACGGTCGTGGTGGAATTGAAAACGCCTATTCAATGCGTATAAAGCAAGTCTGTCTAGGCAATCAAGTTTGTTTCTGAAAACATCTCCAACAGAGATATCATCGCCTTCGTGCTCCACTTTGCCCGCTGCAATCTGCAGACCTCAATGTCATTATATTCACGCTGGTGTAACAATTCTGTCATAAAAGATCGTGTCATGATATGTAACTGCGACCGATAATACTAGGCCATTAAATACGTCAAGTGCGTCACAATGTATAAAATCATGCTATAGTTACTATCACAATGCAATTTCTTCCTTCTTCTAAAAACTATTGGTTTCCATTTTTGTGAAAGAGTTAAAGCAAGTATTGACATAATATGGTTTTAGTTATCTCAATGAAATGCAATTTAAAAAAGAAATAAGAGCACATTACATACTTCATGTGCAGACGATGTTCCATGAGATACAGCATCTCCATCACCTTCTTCTTCCTCAAGGATTTGTAAGGCATTAGCATCAACCGATTGCTCAACAGACAACTCGGAGATATACAGTGGCACCTCGCCCGTCTCCACACGCATGATGGCTAAGTATATTTCCATAGTCTCGTCGTTGGTAATCGTCACTGGGCAGGTCTGTTTCCATGCGGCGCTGCCGACATCCATCCACTCTGGCCACTGAAACGTCAGATTCACGTCAGACGCAGAGATCCCAAACTCAGCCACGACAATATCTCTGCTGCGTAAGAGCCCGTCCCCTTGACGCATTTTTAGGTTTTTCACAGCATTTCTTGAATTGACTATGAAAATCCAACCGCAGTCGGAGGTTCGAGCCCATCTCCCGTTGACCACGCGAACTTGTCGACACGCCATCTGTGTAGTACACACACAAATCAAAAGCTAAAACCTTTGGTATTAATTACTGAATGATCTTTCCTATATTATCTAACCAAATAAATTGACATAGACCATAGATTAAAAATCAAGATGAAGACAGAGCACTTACTTAAAAGTTAGGTCTCCGTGTCTCTGCCTCTCTGGTTTGGAACTCACCGACTTGTTTATACAGATAGAGGTCGAAACTCTATATAAGATGATACGTGTGTTTATATATTTTTGACGCCACAATTCACCAAATAGTTTTACAATTTTTTCTTAAACAGCAACGAGTACACATAGCCTCTGTTTGTATCAGTCATATTCGTAGGGTAGAAATTATTATATTTAAGCCTATTCTTTTCATTAAATGAAGAGATAAAAAAAACTCATTTAATATCCGCGGCGCAGTATCTTCGTTGAGGCCCACTTTAGGGTTCTCGCATCCACCTGCCACTTCTTTCTGTTGTTGGACTAGATAGGAGTATAATAAATATAATATCAAAAATTTATTTCCATCTATCTATAATATTTGGCATAAAAAATCAATTCTTGCTATTAATTTAGTTTTTAAAAAATCAACTCTTGCTATCAATTTAGTTTTCTATCCCAGTAGTCATGCCATGCCATGTCCACTTAAACCAGATGGTCCATAAAAAGCCGGCCAAACTTACTCACGGTCGGAAATGTCATTTTTAGGAACAAATATGTATCTTAATTTTTATATCGTTTTTCACTCGGCTGTGTAATTTACTGCAGCCTCTCGTCATGGCTAGTCACAATGCATCTCATCGTTATCATTTCAAGACGTCAAAACATATAACTAGTTGCTTCGATTTACTCGTCCAAAACATCATTACACATAAATTATTAGCTACGTACAGCTATAACGTCAATCCTACTGCTGCAGAGAAGATATCATATGAGATTTTCCATCCCCTAATCGCAGGGTTTGAAATGCAACACATATTCTTTTGAGAGCCTTTATATCTTTCTTTTTTTGGGCCTTTATACCAGGATTATCGGTCGTATCTTAAGAAGAATTAGGCAAAATTTTAAGGTTTTTCTGATTTAAATTAAATCTAAAATGATGCATAAACCTAAGGTACGTCTTTTAAGTAAGAAGCTCATTTGCCTCTAAGAGACGCTACGTGGCGTATTATTATTGGTCGAAGAGAGGAAAAATTGTAAAGTAATACGCTTTTGTCTATTCTCTTCCTCTCCCTCTCTCTTGACACGATGGTGAAGAACTCTGGCGATGAAGATGGCGATTCAATATCAATCTTTGATCCACCTCTTTATATGTCCTCAGACCGACCAACCGGAGTGATTTAACCATCTTCAGCGAGGTGGGGTTGCCACAGCTACGAGAAGGAGGTGATATCGACGACGAGGAGAAGCTAATACCAGCTGAAGATCTCCAATTTTTCAACAAATCGGATTTAATCTTTCTGAAATCGGTACACAACTAGTATGAATCTCTCTCTCTCTGCATGTTCGATTTATTATTGTTTGATTTGTTTGATTGATTGATTTGGGGGAATTTGGGTAAGAGTTTACATCAATTACTCCGATTTAATCCGACTGTTGTGTAGATATCTTTTATTAAAATCTACTCCTCTTACTTGGTTATAGGAAAGTACTTGTGATAAATGTAGTTGTGTCTTTGTGTTGTGTGTATACTTGTATGTGCATTTGAGATTATGATGCATTTATACAAATGCACAAGTAAAAACAATTACTTTGTGTATATATGTCATTATGTCATTCTCTGTAAACAATTACTTTGTATCTTTATGTCTTTATGTCATATGTGTAGGTTCACGTGAAAGGACTTTGGTTTACGGACACCTCAAAGACACAACAAGAGACAAAGCTTGTGTATGGTTCACAGACACCACAGTTGGAGATAAAGCTTCAAATCTATTTACTTTGTATCAAAGATACTCGAATGTTTTGCTATAAATATGACATTCTCTCATTTGTTCTTACAGAGTCTTTAAGTCATTCTCTTTAACTCTTTCTCTGTTACTCCAAAAATACTTTACTGTTTTACAAAGTCTTTAAATCAAACTCATTCACCAAACTGATTCAAACTCGTTCACCAACCCAAATCTTCCTATATTCTCTTTTGTTCTTACAAACTCATTTACAAAAAAAAAATCCAAACCAAATCTTCCGTTAATTCATTTTTTTTTGTGCTTACAAACTCATTCACCAAAAATCCAAACCAATTCTTCTTTTGATTCATTCTCTTTTCTGCTTACAAACTCAAAACAAAAAATCCAAACCATCCTTTAATTCATTCTTTCTTAAGTCCAAAAACAATTACAAAATTTTCTAAATTGCAATAATTATTAGCTTTACAAAAATTAAAATTTTTAATTTAAATTCATTTTTTAAATTTTTTTCCTAAGAACCCTAAAATTAAGAGTCTACCCTTAAAGTTACCTAAAACCTAAAAACCAAAATACAACTCTTAACTATTAACTTTTCAAATTTAATAATTAATTATTCCTAAAAGCTAAAACTAAGAGTCTATTGATAATCATGCTCTTATATCTTATAAATTTCAAATTCTTCTCCTAACAAACCGCTTCATGATCCGTCCAACCCAAAACAGTGTGGTCAAATATAGTAGTCATTTCCCTAATTAACCTGTAGGATAGTTTTTTTTTCCTTACATTTTATGTCACACAGTAACGTTGTACACAAATTAGGGATAAGTTTGTTTATAGAGAGATGTCTTTCAAACAATTTTTTTTTCCTTTCATGTATGCCTAATGCTACAATTTTGATAGAATTTAAATAATCTAATACCAACGCAAGAACATGTAAGATATAAATTTTGTTCCTTTTATAGCCTACAAAAATCTATGCACCCATATCAGTAAAAATATATGATCGGTTAAACTTCAACCGATTGACTTAATCACCCCATAAACTGTCCCCTTATAGTTCCAAAACCATGGAAAACTACAATACACCAACTTAGAAGAACATTACAAGAAAACAAAAAAACAAAACAAAAAGGAACATTCACAATAAAAACATTGACCCATTTTACATATTTAAGCCATCACTAAACGTTACCCCCGTAGAAGGCAGCCAAAGATTTCCTTTAATGAATTGAGAAACGGTGAAGTTAGTAGCCTGGTCCGAGTTGTTAAAGACGTGGTAACCAGGCCACTTGACTCGGCTGTTGAGTCCTGCACCAGGCCCGTAGTTCATAAACTCTCCGTAGAAGAGTGTGTCCAACGCAAAGTCAGCGTTCCACTCGAGCCATCCTTCGGGTCTCACAACGTCGCTCATGTTGTTCCTAATGAAAACAGTTCTTGAATATAGCTTCCATGGCCTTCCTAGATACGTCCGTGTCGTGTTTAGGTATGGGACCAAGTCTGCGTCCGCCGAGATGTTGCTGAACTGAATTGAGAATCCTGAGGGTTGGTTCTTATCTTTCCGGCCTTGTGCAGTAATGGTGTTCTTTTGGTTAGGGAGTCCCCTTTTAGCCAGAATCTGACAGTTTTGAAACACAACAGTCCCATCCCCAAATATAAAATCTACTGTCCCCGTGATGGTACACTCACGGTAGAACTGACGCATGGTGTGCGTGTAGAGTGTGTCTTGATAACCCCTCATCGCACATCTGTAGAAAACAGAGAGATCAGAGTCTGACCTCAGTGCTACCGCTTGATGCTTCTCTGGCCCCGCTGTGTTCTGAAACGTTATATCTCTTGCTAGGAATCCTCTTCCGCTTACCGCTGAATTATTTGTGTCGTCACAGATGCAATGTTTTAAATCCATAAGCATTAATGTATATGAATTACATGCAATAATTAACAACTGAAATAATCTTATATATATATATATATATATTACCGAATGTAGCTGATCGGAAAGTGGTCCAACCGTCGACGTAGCTGCGGCTACCAGAAATAATGGTAACGTCGATGCCATCACCTAACATTACGATGTTCCACTTCTTCTTCTTGATCTCAACATTCTCCAGATATAAACCCTTTTTAATGTATATGACGAAACGTGTGGAGCTGTAGTCAGGAGCTTCCTTGATAGCGTCCATTATCTTTGTGAAATTGCCTGTCCCATCCAATGCCACAGTGACGTCGTAACTCTTACCTTTTGTTTCTAATAGTTTGCGATCCTCCGATCTGACCCAGTCTGGGAATTCAAGGCTTTCGTCGTCGTCGTATTCAGTGTCTCTGAGTTTGCGGCCTGGTGGGGCTTTTGGTCCTTTAGCAATTGGGCCAGGTTTAGAAATAGGCTTGGTGGGTTTCTCGTCGGTTTGAACAAGTGGTAACAATTCCCTTAGCATAGAGTATAGCTGATCGAGACTGCCTGAGATCATAAATTATAGTAAACATTAACAAAACAAAAAAGAAGAACAATTAATAAACCGAACTGTGAGAAAGATTAGAATAAGAAAGGGATGATGAAATTTTATACCAGCGACAAGGGTCTTGACGAGACCAGAGGTACCGTCGAAGCCTTCCATACAAGTGTCTTGGTTGGAGAGAGCAGCACTTAACCATGTCCTTGTGTCCGATGCCACGTTCCCTGTTCCGTTGCCCTTACCTGGTCCCATTCAGATTCAGTATCATCACACGCCTTCTCTTTAAATAGTACTACTTGTAATTTTTATTCCTTTTTTATTTTTGTCAACACTATCATTTTCATTATATTCACACTTCCATTTATTACGCTGCCATCTAAGATTTTAAATCCACGTTCTGTGTCCCTACTAGGCACATGCCATTTACTATAATGATTATAGAATTTGCTCTCGTTTCATCAAAGAAAATGCACAAACGTTGATGTAACATCATCGTCACTTTGGTATGTGTATTAACAAACAATTACTATAAACAGTCAAGTTACGAGAAAACAAAATTCTACACATCTGTTGACTAATATATTTTTGGTAATTATACCGATAGAATATACCTTTCCTAATTTTAATATATGCATGCGCACATGACATATGTAAACGAAAGATTTGTGTTTACGCTCTTTTGAATTTGTGATGCAAAATTGTAGTAATTAGTTGAAAATTATAGGAACGGAATTATAGGATGGTCAAAGAATCCACCTAACAACCGTATCGCAATCAATTCCGTTCCGGCTTTCAAATTAAATGCAGAAGTGTAAAATAAAAAAATGTCTTACTATAGTAGCATTTAACACTATGATGATTTCTGATCCATGAACGATGTAATTTATCCTATGGTATCAAATCATCATCATTTATGGGAGTCGTGGAGAATCTAACTAGATAAATTCCAAACCAGTCGAGTTGTACAGGTGTGTATTTGTATTACTATCTTATGCGTCACATTGATGTGTAATGTGAAAAATAGATTGCTAAACGCCAATCAGGTATTTTGGGTGTTATTTGACTGATTACCTCTTGCCAAAAAAAAAAAGAGAATGAAAGCCAAAGTTATACCAAGTAATCGCACTCTTTCCATTCATAGCAACTTATCACAAACGTCAATCCTATCCTACTTTTCCTTAAACCGGCAAAACGCAAATCTATTAGCCGGTTTGTTTGTTTGCTTTTGACAATTTGATGATTACTCCAGTTTGTTTATAATCTTTTCAAATTTCACCTAAGTATTTATGAACCGATTTATTTAACTGATTTTTTGTTATAAGTTTTAACTACAGTTTTGACCTTGTGATCAGAGCATCTTTAAGTGGGGAGTTGAAAAAGTTTATATATGCATTCAAAGTTTCCAACGCTATAAAAGGCTGTGATAAGAAAACTAAAGTGATATAGCTAGATAAATGGTGTACATTAGTAAAACGCACCTTTTGGATTCTCAGAAGCAGAGGCAGACCAACTTAGCTCCTCGGTAGAAAAGTCAAGCAGATCAATGCAATCGGAAACCGCATTCTGCAGCCGGCGATCTCCACTGAAATCCGCAAACTGAGACAAAATCGAACTCACTTGTCTTATTACTTCCACTATCGTGTTTATGGAGCTCACAAACTCGCTCGCCGGAACTTTCAAGTATTCGTATTGCATATTCTCCTCTGATGACACACACAGACCAAACATGATCAAGAAGATCAAGAAATACTTCAAGAATGACATTTCTCTTCTCTCTCTCTCTCTCTTTTTTTTTTTAAAGTTACTTAGGTTTGTAGCAATAATAAATAAAATAAATAGAAAAAGAAAAGAAAGTTTGTGGTTTGAGTTTGATGATATCGAAGTTCTTGAGTTAGTGTTGAACATATAAAAGAAGGAGATCGTATTAAATTCCAACCACCTCTCTGTCCACTTCTAAACAGTTAGTCTACTTAAAAATCTTTAATTGGGACTTTAACTTCATTATCCCACCAAACGTTTGCGTTCCCTTCATCGTTGATATTTTCAATAATATTTATGACATCTCTTAATGATAACTCAACCGTTCTCCAACACATTCAATTATATTCTCTCATCTTCGGTCGTATCGGCACTAGTGCTCCCGGATGCAGCTGTTTCACACATCCACCGTCATATCAAAATCTTAAGTGTACTCCACCTGTTTTATTGTCTTACGTTTTTAATTTAACTGAGTGACCTATTGCTTCTATATGAATAACTGATACAATCATAAACAAGTTCATAATTTAGCTAGCTATCAACTAAGCCAACTCTCTATAGATAAAAGAATTTTTCCAGGTTAACTGAATATAGCGTTGCTAATTTTCAGAAAAAAGTAATGTAAAGAAAAGTAATGTACCTTTTCCTAACATAAAAACTCTAAAGGAGATCACACGTTACACTAGGAAATTTTGGATGAAAACCGAAGGACATTAAAAAAAAAAAAAAAACCGACGAGTCGTGATGTAACGTATGGGTTTCCTCTAAAACATGCATGTAATATCAACAATTAGTTCCAGGGCAAGGAAGATTTTAGGTCAAAGAAATTGTTTACCGATCTGCCATATAATTGTACGATATATACACTAAATATATTGTAACCACGGAGACTCGTAGTTGAGTTATTTCTTTTGTTTGAGCTTGCACCGAAAAATTAGAAGTACTAATTAGGATTGAATGAAATGAAAGAAAAGTCAATAGAAGAAGAAGAAGCGAGATAAAGGAGTCAAGGAGTCACGTGACCATAAAGAAGAAACGGCTATTGGGCCATAAAGAGAAACAAGCCCAATTTCTGAATTTCAATGTGAGTAGTATCGTTGGAATTGAAGGAGCTTAATTTGCGGAATAACAATAATCATATTATTATTATGTTTAAGATGATAGAAAAGTGACGCAGTAATGTTTTTTTTTTTTTTTTTTTTTTTTTTTCACTCTGGACTTTAACAAGACTCGACAATTTGTTTTTGTACGTACCTATTTTCTTACCTACAAGATATTACAGCGTGGCTCGAGCCACCCACTGAAAGTCTTCTGCTTGTGTTCGTGCTCACGTGACACGATTATATGCTCGGTCTTCGTTTGACAATATTATCTTCACTGAAAGATAACATTACCTATTGTGTCTGAACCAATTTTATCGTAGGAACTAAACATAAACATCGTATCTATTGAGAGTTCAGACAAAAGTATCTAATTTACTAGACAGAGTACAGTCACTTATTGTCAAACGACGCCGTTTGGTAATGGTCCTTCCCGAACAAAACAACGGTGAAGCAAGAACCAAAGACGAGCTGTGTTTCCCGATTAGTTTTGTCTTTTTAATTTTCCTCGTTACCTTTCCATATTCGCCGATATTTTTTCGCTTCTTCCGAATCGCCGGATTTGTATCCATCGACCACCACCTTTTCTTTTGCAAAGAAATCACACAATAGGCCTCTCCACTCTCCTCTCGCAAGATCTGATCCGATTTTTCCCGTTTCTCTCAAACCCTAATCTTTAAATTCAGATTAGCGTCCCTTTGATCTTCTCCTTCTCCTCCTTTTCAAATCCCAAAATTAGAGATTCGAATTCCGTGTTCTCTTAATCTCTATCTCCGCCTTCCACAATTTTGTTGCTTTCCCCCAAATTCTGGTTTCTGTGACCAGGTTTCCAATAAATGTGGTAGATCGAGACCCAAGATATCGTTTCTGGGGGAGGTGAGGGGTGCATGAGGATTTGGTGTTTTTCTTGCTTCACCGACGAAGACGACGAGGAGGAAGACGAAAACAGCGGCAGAGTAAAGAACCAATCTTCTTTAGCAACGGCCATGGAGAACAATGGCGGTGATGGCGATTTTGTTAATTTTGGTGAAAACGAGAGGACGCCAAGAGCCCCACGTTGGAGGCTGTGTGCGGAGTTACTGACGAGGGAGGAGGAAGGTGAAGCCGCTGGGGATGAATTGGAACGCTTATGGACCTCTGAGATTCGGTTACATCAGTTAGTTCAGGGAGAGAGTAGCAATGCTGCAGCTACTGAGGATAGTACGATGGAGGAAGCTGATCATGATTCGCATCACAAGCGTGCCAAAGTCTACTCTGGCCTTGCGTAAGCTCTCTTACTCCTTAGCTACGTTTTCCTTCTAGACAAGTTTAAAAAACAAAAAAAAAATTAAAGTGGATCTTTGTAGAAAAATGTCGAAAATAAGTTTTGATTTTTCAATGAAATTGAGCAGAGTTGTGTCTTTACAATTTTAAGAAAATTGAAACCAAGTTCGTAAACTCTGCTCCAACATCCTTGTAGCGACTTTGCAGAGGCCTCTGCTTTACCTTGATTGTGTAGAAAAACTCTGTTTTGATCATTTTTACTATGATTTAGCATCGATTTTGTAGGGGTTTTTGTATTAAAACCTATCAGTGACGCTTAAGTTCAATTACAGTGAGTGCAGGTCGGTTTCCGGGGCATCTTCAGATGCTGGGAATTCTGGTTCGTCGGTGGAGAGAACTGTTAGTTTTGGCATTGCCTCTTCTTCCCGGTCGGATACTGATATGTTCTGCCAGAATTTCATCTTGAATTATAGTCGGAAAGATGGAAAAAAAGATGATGGAGATGATAACGGTTCTTCAGACGCAGAAGATTTTGAAGTTCATATCGATTTGACTGATGACCTCTTGCATATGGTATGCGTTTTTTTTTTGTTTGCTTTTTATCTTAATAATACGTAGGTTTCCTTTCCCTTCTCTTAAAATTTTCTGAACTTTTCTGTCCTGCAGGTATTCTCCTTCTTGAATCATGTCGACCTCTGTCGCTCTGCTATGGTATGTCGGCAGTGGAGAGTAGCTAGTGCTCATGAGGATTTCTGGAAAGTCTTGAACTTTGAAAATATAAGGATTTCTATCGAACAATGTAAGTTGTTCTGCATACGCTGTCTTTTCAGTTATTTGGCGTTTGATATATATAAACTAGATAAATTTTTTCTATAGAAAAGCTTTTAAAACATGTTAAACAGCTGGTGCTTGTGGAAACCTTAAAATAATTTGAAATTGACTGCGGGTTTATTGAGTCTTGTATTCTTGTACACTTGTTTGCCATTCAGTGAGTGCAGTAGAAATTGAGTATTTTGAAGGCTTTCATTCAATCTGCATTTTTATGATGAGATTGGCCTGCAGTAGCATATCTAAGGCACTCCAAAGATGCCTCTGATTTGTTCTGTTTTATCGAATTCAAGACGCTGTTTTACGCAAACTTGTATTTCTTCTGTGATACTAATCCATTATTTGCTAGACATTAATATACATTGGATAAAAAATATAACTTCGGGTTGCTTTATTTTTGCAGTTGAAAACATGTGTAGTCGCTATCCAAATGCTACTGAAGTGAATGTTTATGGTGCTCCTGCTGTTAACGCTCTGGCTATGAAAGCAGCTACCACTTTGAGGTATCTGTATTTTTTAGCCTCGGATATGGTTTCTATCAAAAAGATACTATGTATCCATTGTAATCCATTGTAATGCTTTTGATCTTTTTCAGGTATCTTGAGGTCTTAACGATAGGAAAGGGTCATATCAGTGAAAACTTTTTCCAGGCATTGGGAGAGTGTAATATGTTGAGGAGTGTGACTGTAAATGAGGCTATTCTGGGAAATGGTGCTCAGGAAATAAACCTGAGTCATGATAGGCTACGCAGACTCAAAATTACGAAATGCCGTGTTATGCGCTTGTCTATCAGGTGAATTTGTGTCTAATAATTCATTTTCATTCTTAATCGTTTATGTGTATTTCATTCTCAATTAACATTATTTTTTCAATCTTTTAGATGTCCGCAGCTCAGATCTTTATCATTGAAAAGAAGCAATATGTCTCAGGCGATGCTTAACTGTCCACTCCTCCAACTTCTTGATATAGCCTCATGCCATAAGCTCTTGGATGCTGCTATCCGTTCAGCGGCCACTTCGTGTCCTCAGTTAGAGTCACTAGACGTTTCTAACTGTTCATGTGTCAGCGATGAAACTTTGCGTGAGATAGCCCAGGCTTGTGCTAATCTGCATATTCTTAATGCTTCATACTGCCCCAATATATCTCTTGAGGTTAGTCCTGTTATACCTGCTTCGCTCCCTCCCTTTCTTTTGTCTCATTCTCTTTTTTTTTTCTGACTTGATTTCCCTTTTCTTCTTTGAAGTCAGTACATCTTCCATTGTTGACTGTTCTGAAGCTGCATAGCTGTGAGGGTATTACATCCGCGTCTATGACTTGGATTGCTAATAGTCCTGCGCTAGAGGTTCGTGATCGTTCTACAACCTTAAACTATTTTTGTTTTTGTTTTTTTTCCACCAACCTATTTTGTTTTCCACAGTCCACACCCACATGCATATTGTTCTTCAACCTTTAAACAAAGACCACAATTTCAGTTGGTTAACCACATATAATTTATTGCAGGTTTTGGAGCTTGACAATTGCAATCTGTTGACATCTGTATCTTTGCATCTGTCACGTTTGCAGAGTATAAGCCTAGTCCATTGTCGCAAGTATAGCTCTCATCTTTGGTTTGCTTTCACCTACAGATTTTATTGTTATAAGTATTCATGCCTTTATTTTTATCTTTGCTATTATTACACTCATGTATCCCTCTTTGCTGTGTTTAACAGATTTACAGATCTGAACTTGCAAAGCACCATGCTTTCATCAATCACTATTTCCAACTGTCCAGCGCTTCGTCGTATCACAATCACTTCCAACTCCCTTCGAGTATGCACTTACGTAGTCCTGATTTTGTTACTCTGTATTTTGGTTAGGATTTTTGATCTGATAAACCCGTCAATATTTCTCCATTTTGTTGCAGCGATTAGCTCTCCAGAAACAGGAGAATTTGACAACATTGGTTCTGCAATGCCATTCCTTGCAAGAAGTGGATCTCTCTGATTGTGAATCATTGTCCAATACTGTTTGTCAAATATTTAGTGATGATGGTGGATGCCCAATGCTGAAATCATTAATTCTTGACAACTGTGAGGTGTGATACAGTTTCGTCCTCTTTTTTACAGCTGTTGGCTGCATTGGATAGCAGAATGATATTTTACTCGTTTCTGAACTTTTTATATATTGTTGTAGAGCTTAACAGCAGTGCGGTTCTGCAATTCATCGTTAGCTAGTCTTTCCCTAGTTGGCTGTCGTGCTGTTACTTCTCTTGAGTTGAAGTGCCCTCGCATAGAGCAGATCTGTTTAGATGGATGTGATCATCTCGAAACTGCATTCTTCCAGCCTGTGAGTGTTGCTTTTTGCATATTAAATAGCTAAGTTATCTTGACTAATGGGTTTTTTTGTTTTCCCTTGTGGCTGTGAATAGGTCGCGCTCCGGTCTCTTAATTTAGGAATATGCCCGAAATTGAGTGTGCTCAATATTCAAGCACCTTATATGGTGTCTCTTGAACTGAAAGGTTGCGGTGTATTGTCTGACGCAATCATTATTTGTCCTCTATTGACATCTTTAGATGCGTCTTTCTGCAGGTAACTATCTGTTTTTTTGTTGTTGTTATTTTCCATTTTTGTCAGAGATTTATGGTGATGCTAATCAATGTACCCTACTACCTTTTCCAGTCAACTGAGGGATGACTGTCTGTCTGCAACCACTGCTTCCTGCCCACTAATCGAGTCACTTGTCCTAATGTCTTGCCCTTCTATTGGCCCCGATGGCTTGTCTTCCTTGAACGGGCTCCCACATTTAACTGTTCTTGATTTATCATACACCTTCTTGATGAATTTGGAGCCTGTCTTCAAGTCTTGCCTTCAGCTGAAGGTAATTAAGGCATTATGACTTTTATGATGCTGATTTTTTTACCTTTCTGTCAGCATTAGAGCATATATTTATCTTCTGTCACAATGAAAAAAGTTGTGAGTTATTTTGGGTGCATTCTTTGTGTATCATCCATTCATGTCTATTTCTATCATATTATCATATCATTCTATACTTATGGGCTTTCTTTGACATTTTATGGTTTTTAGGTGCTCAAATTACAAGCCTGCAAATATCTCACTGACTCATCACTGGAGCCATTATACAAAGAAGGTGCTTTACCGGCACTTGAAGAGCTGGACCTGTCTTATGGAACTCTTTGTCAGACTGCGATAGATGATCTACTTGCATACTGCACACACTTGACCCATTTGAGCTTGAACGGCTGTGTAAACATGCATGACCTGGACTGGGGCTCAACCAGTGTAGAGCTATTTGATTACTTTGGGGTTTACAGTTGTAGTGAGAATACCCAGGAACCAGCTGAAACAGCCAATCGCTTATTGCAAAACCTAAACTGTGTGGGTTGCCCTAATATCAGAAAAGTGTTGATACCACCTGCGGCTTGCTTTTACCATTTATCAACGCTGAACCTTTCTTTATCGGTCAATCTGAAGGAGGTTGATCTCGCCTGTTCCAACCTGGTTTTACTTAATCTAAGGTATGAGGGTTTTGCATTTGATATATAACTTATTTTATTTATCTTCCATCAAATCAAATGAGCGGTGTTATTCTATTGCTAATTTCCATTTCAAATCAAAATGAATTGTCTAGCAACTGTTGCTCTCTGGAAGTATTGAAGCTTGGCTGTCCAAGATTGGCCAGTCTCTTTCTTCAGGTATGTTTCTGACCCATAACTGGCCTTTGTTTATATTATATTCCTCTGGGTTTTCTTGAAGCTCAGTCTAGGGACAGAATATGTGTTAAACATGGATATCTGTTCATAGACAGAATAATTGCTTTTACATATGTTATCACTAAATACATTTTGGTACCTTTTGTCTTTGGTAGTCTTGTAACATGGATGAAGCAGGAGTTGAAGCGGCTATATCAGGATGCAGCTCACTCGAGACATTGGATCTTCGTTTCTGTCCAAAGGTACTAACAATAAATGAGTGTTTACTTCGACTTCAAAACTTAGCAACTAATTCATTTTGATGTAACAATTAAAACCTTGTTTTGATGATTAATAGATATCCTCGGTGAGCATGACAAAGTTCCGAACAGTGTGCCCTAGTTTGAAACGCGTCTTCAGCAGTCCGAATCTTTTGCAAGATTAGGGTTTTGCGCGGAATGTTTTATTATATACAACTTTTTCTGCAGATTATAGAGATAATGTGTTGTGTTGTGTTGTGTGGTGTTTGGGATGTAAATGGGTCGAAGTCATGAGTTTCAGTAGTGCATATAGGCCTCTGGAGCTCGTACTGTGGCCTCCTTAGTTCTGCTTGTGTGATGATGACACAAACCTAACAACATTAATACTTTTTCGTGTCTATGGTTCGTGATAATGTTGCTACTGTTATATGTAGATCTTCTATTTGCCTCATCAATATTCCTAGTAAGCATTGATCCACATCCACTCACAATCCATATTAAGTTTCCAATAGAAGTTGTTTGTGGTGGATTAATACTTACTACTAGTCTGAAGAGAGGATTGGTTCAATTGCAATGCTTCTTTACTTTTCTGATATCTCCAACGCTTTTCTCTCTTATAGAAAGGTCAAAACTAAGAGAATGGGTAAGTTTGTCTTCTACCCAGTTCAAGTGTGAAATTGGTTCAAAGCTCAGATTCTCAAACAGAGCTAAGAACCTAAGATACTAAATGAGATGAAAGGACATATTAATCGTGGAACTAGTAGTTGGAGAATTTGTTGGAACAATACTTTATTATTTCCTAATATATATGCAGAAGCTTTGAATTTATCATAAAGAGAGACATGAAGAGAAAACACCACATAACTACTAGTCTCCCCACAAGAACTCATGAAGTTTTTAAGTAATTTAAAAAATAACGAAAACAAAATGTTGAAGACTGCCCAATAGGAAAATATTATCAAGAAGAATATTTCTGTATTTATGAAGAACAAAGAATATAGTAAAAAGGAAATACATCTTACAAATCCAGGAAGACCGAAAAATGCAGACATCTAAGTCAAAGTCAAAGTCAAAGAATGAAAATTTCTAAATACAGATTGTAGTAGTGTTAAAGCCTCTGAATCTGATGATTGGCATACGACTTTGTACTTACCAACTTCAAATGTTTTATATTTTTTTTAACTTCACTCTTCTGTAAATTTACTAAACTTCATCTAACTTGTTTTAACTTTTAAAGAACCCTACTCACGCGCAATTTAAAAAATAATGTAAACTTTCAAAGGTTTTAATCTCTATTTATAAATTTTAAGATCCAAAACTACAACTAAAATATCTCACAAGTTATGAATATAACCCAAATTCATATATCATCTTGATTGGGTGCGAATGCAGTATTAAAGACTAATTGTAGACTTGTAGAGTTCTCGTTAGTGATAAACTCTACGTAATCACTTGATTTGTGCTGTTCATAAGGCAAAATAACGAGTGATAAATCGATGTGGTAGAAGAAGAATACGAAATGAGTTGATATGCGTATTCATGATCTTGTCTGCGTGGCATTACCAAACGCAATTAAAAAGGAACAAGTCTTTGCTAAAAACTGGTCATGTTATATCACTTTCTTCCTAATTCGACAGGTGTTAGTTTACAATTAAAGATATGATCAAATACCAAATGCGACATGTTAGTTTTATAAATTGCTAAAAATAACATAATTTAGTATCAGTAAGTTTATTAGTTTGATTTACGAAAAAAAAGCATAGCAATTGTTGTTGTTTAATATTTGTTGTTGAGGGCGGGAAGTCATTTTTGTTGTTGATATTTGCCTTTTTTTTTTTTTTTTTTTTTTTTGGTGAGAGCGGTTTTTAACTTGAACCATAAAAAATTAAAAAAGCTGTACAGTAGTAAAAGTTTGCCTTCTCTTCTCTCTATCTCTCTCTCTCTCTCTCTCTCTCTCTCTCTCTCCTTAGGGTTTCTATTCTCATTCTTGGTTTGAAATTTGAAAAATTCTCTGGGCGCAACCTCTCTTTCTCTCTCTATGACTCTTGCTTCCCCCAATTTAATTCTCTAGGGTTTTCTTCCCGAGCTCCCATCACGAGTTTATGAGAAATTGTCTTCCAATGGAAATGAATCTGCGCAAGGGCGATAAGGTTTGGGTGGAAGATAAGGATTTCGCTTGGATTCCTGCTGATGTGCTCGATTCTTTTGGTAACAAGCTCCATCTTCACACTTCCACTGGGAAGAAGGTCTGATTAACCGTTTTTTTTTGCTTAATTTGTTCTGTTTTGTCTTCTTCGCGCTTAATTTGATGTGATTTCCTTGCTAATTTTGCGTTTTTTTTTGGGGGTGTTTAGGTTTTAGTTTCCCCGGAAAAGCTATTTCGGAGGGATCCCGATGATGAAGAGCATAATGGAGTGGATGATATGACCAAGCTTACCTACTTGCACGAAGCTGGTGTGCTTTACAATCTACAGAGGAGATACGCTCTTAATGATATATATGTGAGTTCTTTCTCTTTTATTTTTGTTCTTGTTTATGAAGAGCTCTCCGTGACTGTATTTCTGGGATACTTTATTGAGTCGGATTTCATTCCATATGGACTGTTTACTCTTCCTTGTGGTAATATCGTACTCAGTCGCCGTTGTTTTCCTTTAGAACGAATTATAGTTGCTTTTGGAGTTTCTTGGCTATGCATTTCTGGTTTAAGCCGTTTTTCCATATGAAGTGGATTCCGGTTCTTTTTTCTTCTGCCCATGTAACTGCAACTATAATCCATTTTTCGATAGGTGTCCTTAAGACTTAAGATTTAGCTGTGAAGTATGCATTCGAATAGTTTAGGTATCAGTAAACTGAGCCTCGAGTGCTTGAAGTACTTGATATGACCCATGTGATTGAGGTCTGTGGTTTTTTTTGAGAAAACATTTTGATCTCCCTCCACTTGTTGTATTTTGTTCGTCTTTGTCATGGATGCCTCTAGATGTTTACTTATAATTGTGATCTGATATATTACCTAATCGAAAAAGGGAAATACTGAAGTGACTAATTTTACTGTGACTAAATGCATTTATCATTACAGGCATTCACTTGAAAAAACTTGCGTATCTGGTATCCACTTGCACGTAAAACACCTTCGTTATCCAACCCTAACTATTTCTTTTCCTATATAAGCACTATTTTTGGCGGGATTATCAAGTTTGTATATTCGTAACCACTTTTTTATTAGTTTGTTGGACTGCAAGTGAATTATGTATAGGTTTGAAAATTCCATCTAAAGTTATAGAGGGCTTGTTTTCCGTATTTACTCGGTGAAAGTATTATGTGTTAGACGGTTTGTACTCAGCTAGATCCCTTGATAATGCTGGCTTGCCTCTTTGTAAAATTTGATTGCAGCTTGGTATCTAATTATTTATGTCCCTATTGATTTTTATGCAATTCCTTTATTAAATCATTCCTGACTGCATATCTTCTTAAATTACGTTCTATTTCTTTTACAGACATACACTGGTAGCATTCTGATCGCTGTTAATCCGTTTAAAAAGCTTCCACATCTCTACAATGGGCACATGATGGAGCAGTACAAGGGAGCACCATTTGGTGAGCTCAGTCCACATGTTTTTGCTGTTTCTGATGTTGCTTACAGGTGCTCCACTCTTTTTTCTCTAATGTTTCTGTTATTTTTAACTCTTTCTATCAGTCATGTTAATCAATTAACCATAGTTATGCTTTATAACCCAGAGCGATGATTGACGACAGTCGAAGTCAGTCAATACTAGTTAGCGGTGAGAGTGGAGCTGGAAAAACTGAGACAACAAAACTAATCATGCAGTATCTTACATTTGTCGGGGGACGGGCTGCTGAAGATGATAGAAGTGTTGAGCAGCAAGTCCTTGAGGTAAGATTTTGCTTACATAATATGTATATTTTCTCTTGGTGAGTTAGAATAAACGAAATTGGAAGATGCGTTTGACCCTCCTCCCTTAATATTTGTTTGTAGATAATTTTTTTGGGGGTGATTCTGGTTGACTTTCTTTATTTTGAGTGATCTATTCTAATTTTAGTTTTCTTGTTCTGCAGTCAAATCCTCTCTTGGAAGCATTTGGCAATGCGAAAACAGTTAGAAATGATAATTCCAGGTGGGTTATGGAATTTTGTTTTATTTTGTTGAATTATTTTTCAATGAAAAACTGGGAGGTGTTTCTTTAAGTGCTCTTATGTCATTTCTCAATAAAAAGATTCATGACAGTATCGTTATCACTGATTAGTACACATAGTAGTTTTTTGGATGCCGTTATGTTTATCGTAAGTTATCTCGAGCTGTTTGAAACCAGTGGTATTGGCACTGTAAGATGTCGATATCTCCTTAAGAATGTTTTGAATTCTGGTGGTTCTACTTTAGATAATATGGTCTATTGACAGCTTTTCTCATTAAGACTTTAAGCCCCTTGTATCAGTGTGAAATGCAGTATGAGGTCTGTTTGGTTTATTATAATGGTCCCTGTACTTGAAGTTTGGTAACAATCTTACTGCTTAACAGGAGGAATTACCTTCCTTTTTTTCCATTTCATATGTGTAGAAGTAATTAGAGTTTATGATTCTGGAATCTCATTCTGCAATTTTTAATGCGTTCTGGAATCTAGATGTTCTGTTACTGCATCTTATTTTTGAAGTCTGGTACTTTTACAGTTTTACTGCAGTTACTTTTTTGTGTAGGCGTAGCCTTTTCCAATTAAATTGTATGATTCCTTGAATTGACGGATCTGCTGATTTTTTGTTTATTTAGCCGTTTTGGAAAGTTTGTCGAAATCCAATTTGACGAAAATGGTAGAATATCTGGTGCTGCTATCAGAACCTATCTTCTGGAGAGATCACGTGTAGTCCGAATAACAGACCCCGAGAGGAATTATCATTGTTTTTATCAGTTGTGCGCTTCAGGGAGTGTAATTCTTTTTCCTGCTCTGTATACACCTCATAAGATATTGGTTTTGGTTTCTTATTATCTGGTTGAGCTACGCTAGGTTTTACTTTCTGATTTTGTCAATTTACCAATGCTGATTACTAATTTGTCAATGTTCTTATTTGTTTAGGACGCTGAGAAATATAAACTAAGCAATCCTCGTCAATTTCATTATTTAAATCAAAGCAAGACCTATGAACTAGAAGGAGTCAGCAGTGCAGAAGAGTATAAGAATACAAGGAGAGCAATGGATATTGTGGGCATAAGTCATGACGACCAGGTTTTTTTTTTCTTTTTACTTCTAATTGAATTTCATATGTTTTTTTCTTCTGTGAGTTTCTGAAAGTCCTTGCTTTGTTTCCTGCACAAATCATTTATCAGGAAGGAATATTTCGCACGCTTGCTGCGATTTTACATCTTGGAAATGTTGAGTTTTCTTCAGGGAGAGAGCACGACTCTTCTGTGGTAAAAGATCGGGAATCTAGACTTCATCTGCAGATGGCTGCTGATCTTTTCAA